TATCTGAATGACCATCCACTGCTGAATGATCACAGACACTAGCCCAGTTTGGTGATGTCCACTGTCCTGTCCAGCCTGTTTTGACCCCTTGTTTTAGAATGAAGCAGTATGCGACCTTTCTTGAATGTCCTCGAAGTGAAGGGCAGTACGGAACAGGTCTGTCGCAGTCACTGCATGCCTGATGTATTGAGAGGCACCTGTGGCCTCCCACATACCACCAGAGCTCTGACCTCTACCAGTGAGGCTGGCTGGCTGTATGTGTTTGTGTGTGCGCGGGGCGCCTGTTACACCCCACCCACCTAACCTTGACCGCTGCAGTGCGATGGAAGTGGAGCTGTGACGGTGTTACACCTACCGCAGGCCGCAGCGGTCCGCGGTGCCCGTTGTATGGCGCTCTGTATTGTGATGAGTTGATGGTATTCAGATGACCGACTGTGGAGGCACACTGGCCGTGCGGCCCTGACGTTTGGCACCATATATCAGCCGCCTCTCGGGCCTGGCCTCCGCAGAAATGGATTTGAAAGCTGCCGGCTGCAGCTAATGGACGGGCGCCATAAAATGCATAAATTCCTCGCTCTGGTATGAAACATTGCCAGTCGTGATAGGCAATAAATTGCAAAATCCCAGCCCCAAGTGAATTGGTCTTGAATGTCGGAACGACTCACCCGGACGGGATATATATCAAATAGCATACTAAACTGAAAACCGTAACCGCTTGAATAGAACGGCTATTGCGTCGTTTCCATTGTTAAAATGCAGGCTCTCATGGGACGTCTCTGTTTTCCTGACACTATGTCTGTACTCCGTCTGGTTCCCAGTCGGCATTTTGTCAATGTCATTTGGAAGTTGGGCCTTCAGCGCCGCTATTGCGTTCTGCGACAAGCTAGTGCCAATCGAATCGACCTGCCGACCGTTTGAGCTGAAATCGTGACTTATTGGACATTGGTGTGCCGTGAGCCGCCGTGGTGGGGACCAGTCTAATTGGACTGGACTGGTCCCAGCGGGCCGGACTGGACTCCCAATCTAGCTGATATGGGTTCCGACTCAGTCGGCCTCTGTTGCCGCCCGGGGTACGCGTTGACTTCTATTGACCAAATGACCAGAATAGACGGCATTGAACCGTTCAAATATATGCGCAGCCTTTCGAGCCAGGCTCGTTGCATTGTTGTAACGGTGTCGCCCGCCGTGCTATTGCACTGAAACTGTGAGCTACTCTAGCTCGCCGTTGCGAGGGCGTGACGGACTGAGATAGGGCCGCTGGGAGCGCCACTTCCTCACCGCCTTTGTCGATGCCTGATTGCTCGACGCTCACGGCCGGCGCGCCTGCTGACTCTCCGCCATGCGGGGCACGTCGCCGCCAGCTCGCTATCCTATTTGCTCGCGAAATGAGTGTGCCCGGCTCCGCCAGTCTGCCGAGCGGCACGTCGCCGGAAAATATACGAACGTCTCATTGTTACACAAGAAGATAACGGCCTCGCAGCCGAGTCTTTTGCGACGTTTTGAGCGTGCTGTCAAGGTCAATTTGTTGCGTTGCGTCATGGGATGGATGAACCACAATGCGTTGTCATGCTACCAGACTTTTGGCACAACCACAAGCCGTGTTGTTGGATCGGCTGCGGTAAGTTTGTGCTGCATGTTCGGGCGACATTTGTCGTCTGGGAGTGGCCGGTGCTCCCCAGGGATAGCACGGCTGCCGGGCGGCTGCCGGCACACCGAGATCAATCCTGGCCGCCCAGCCGCCCGGCCGCCTGGCTGCCCAGCATGACGCCTATGAGCCTAATCAGGCGGGCGCGGGCGCCAGGCCGCCTGTTGCTCGGCGCCATACGGTGCCCTGGGGTCAGCGTCGACCTGACCCGGTGCCTTTTCAGCGTCCGAAGGAGGCCGTAGCATTGCTCCCGATGTGTTCGTAGCTCGTTCGTAGCTTGTTGCTCACGACAGTCACCTCATTATTTTGTTGATTTTGAAGCACACAGCTTCTTCAGCTTGTCAATCGATTGTAGTGACTAGTGAATATTTGTCTCACACAGGACCGCACCCGAATTTCGTCCCATAGCTCGAGTTTCGGACGGCACCGTAAGGTCAGGTCACAGCCTGTTTCTGTGGTGGAAGGAATCCGCTCCTGGCCCGGTCTATTCAATATGACCGATCCGAGCCTGGTGCCATCATTGTGCGCCAATGCCGAAGAAGATTGGCTGCCTCTCGGCGGGGGGGGGGGGGGGGGGGTCGGCGCCGATTGCTATGGGGGAGGGGGGAGGGGGTGGGGTGACAGCTGGAGCCGCGGCAGTCGTATCTGACGAGCACCGCAGGATAGGCCGGCCCCAGACTAATTTCACCTGTGGCGCAGTAATTGTCCTCATTGACACCAAAATTTGCGCTTATGTAGCGCACCCGCCGAAGGTCGACTCAGCGCGATGCCTCTCCCTTTTCTCTCATCCCATGACCCTATGAAATGATCGAGATCAAAAGGGTCCAGCCCAACAAAAGCGATTCAACGTCAGTTTTTCAAATGAAGTTTTGTTAGAAAATTGAGCGGTGTTCTCAATTTTGGGAAACATATCTGTACCGCGGGCCCACTGATCGGTGCGTTGTGCGTAGTGAAGTGCCCGCTGACTAACGCCGACCCGTCTGTTTACCAACGATAAGGTGATACGTTTTGATGAGCTGCCGTAACAGATATGTGTGAAGAGAAGTTGGATGCCCACACAACCACTGTTAGGGAGGACCTCACTCGCTCCTGCCGGCAATAGGTACTCGCATATGCTGATTTGTACCGCGCACTATCCATTTCGTCCTTTGCCGTTCGTGCACGGGTATTCTGCTCCCTGTGCTCATGACATCAGACAAAAAATAACAATATGTGCTGTTATTTTTTCTTTTGTCCCCTCGTTTCGGTGTGTCTGATGGATGTCTGGCCGGCAGGTGTATCCTCCAGAATTCCTTTTCCGTGCGGACGCTGGTTGATAGCGTGACCCCGCGACCTCTGTGACGTCAGCAACTCGCGGTCAGGTTACCGGCGGCCCTCGCGTGCCCGGGGTGGGTCGCTCTGTTCTGCGGCTAATCACCACCGCCGGCGGGCCCATTGTCCATCCGGGCTTTGACATCGACCTGCACCGAGACAGGCGCGGCCGCCGGCGCCACATCATCCCTCCTGGGGTCATTAGTGTGTGCCGGGGGGCGCCGGCCGGCCGCCGCCCGTCGCCGCCGGCCAATTTCGGTGAGGAATGGCCCGTATTGAGCTGCCCCGGTACCGGGCTGTAACGGGTGCAGGGTGGGGGTGGGAGAGGGGGGGGGGACTCTGACGTCAGCGCCGATCGGCCCGGCGCTGTAAACGGGCGAGGTGTCAGGGTGAAGGTCGAGGAAGTCACTGGGCCTTGGTGAGAAACAAACACCATATCTCTTATCTTACCAGCCAGGCTCTTCTGGCATGATCTGGGGTCTACGCAAAGAGGCGATTGGTGCTGAAGAAGTTGTGGAAGTGCTCTGCCCATTCCTAAATTCACATTTGCATGGCATCCAGAATCCAGATACTTCACATTGTATGCAGTGAAGAGAGCAGCAGAGTCGTCTCTTTCTATTCTTTTGTTAGGATATGCGGTCTGATGGGCGAGCACCCAGCCCTCTGCAGCGGATTAGGCAGCGGTCTATGATGGATTGTCATCCCGTTTGACATTGATGAGATGTCTATCCGACCACAATGGCCGATGACAGGGGAAATTGAGATATTGGCGCAACGCCAACAGGACCTGAGCTGATAAATAGCAGTAATACGGATTCTACGAGTTGAGTTGCATAAGAGTCATTTCATCCTCTATCTTCTTGCACAGACTGCTCCAAAACTAGCACTTTAATTGAATCGGTGTTGACCAAAGTACTCGGGCCAGTTTGCACTGCGTATCGATGTCTATCATCTACTATCAGGTGGGCAGTGGTAGATAAGTCGCGGAATTCGTTGTGCGGCTGCCGTGGGCCGGCCTGACACCCTCGCTGGTAGACAAATCCCGGCGGCGGCAATACTGGCTCTGTGCTTTGAGTAATTTTCATGAAGTATCAGAGGTGCGACTGGTGACGTCGAGAAATCTCTGTTTGAGGGAGAGGAAGGGGGAGGTTCAGCGGGGACAACGCGCGTATTACAGAGCCACGAACAGCCACGAACCGAGCTCCGCTACATCACTTTGTATAATGATACAATGCACAAAGAACAATTCCTTTCATTATATTTGTCATATTTGGGGTGTGTGGATTTGTTTAGACTCTACTACAGCTGCTCCGGTAGTCTAATGAGCGGGGTCTGGCCTGTGTCAGCTGTCTGTGAAGCATCTGCCGCTCCCGAGTGGAGCGCGATGTGGCGACTGAGCAGTAGTCCTCGGTCCGTTTGTTTGTGTGAGGCAGAAGTGATTCAAGGTGTTTTCCTGTCTGCGCTGCGAATGCCATCGGCCACTTGGCATCTATCTTCCGACTGAGTTCCAGTAGTAGGCGTTGATACCAAATATACAACTGACCTAAGCAAATACACGGTGACCACACATCCGGTCTGCCGGCCACCTCTGCTGCGTGGGACGCGCTGTCTGGAACACGGGAAGGGGCGCACCGGGCACTGAGATAACCAACTTCACGGGACTCGGAGTTCACCAACGTATTGGGACACAAAGGTCACCCGCGTAACAGGGCTCTAAGGAGCGCTACATATTACATTACAAGGCAAGGAGGTGGGCTTCGTGACGTGGCATGGAAGTCATGGTCGCAATAGGGCACTAAGATGTCACATAGCGGCGAACACCGAAAATTCGTAACTGGTTGTTGGCCTGCCTGATTCATATTTGTTAAGTGGAGTAGAATTGAACTTTCTGTCACACTGATATTGCTTATTTTCGCTATCATTTTACTGCATAATTATAGTGTATAATACAGATATGCGTAACCTGTATCTTTTGTAGACCGGTGTTTGTCTGACAGCACCTATTCGGCGTGTCCCTGACTGGTGTCCTCTGTCTCTGCCGCAGGACTCGCCGACCGGCGTCCCGGTGACCCTCAAGGTGGACCCGCACGGCTTCTACCTCTACATGGTCGACCAGAACAAGGTGAGGCTCGCGCTCCCCCAGCGGACCACCGCAGATAGTGCGGCGCGGACGGCACTGGGGACGGCGCTGCTGGTCGGACGGCCAGGGAGAGAACAGCGATATTGAGGCTGAGCAAAGACATTTGGTCGGCAGCTGAGAGCTGCGAGCCAGCGTCCATACCTGCGCAATAGTGATACTGCAATGATACCGGCCGCAATTAAACCCGCGTGACATTTTAAAACGAACTACGTATTGGTCGGTGCTATCAAAAGTGGACGCCACACAGCCTGACTCTGGTGGCCTGGTTGTAATGACTAATGAGACCGCGGTGGTTGTGGGGTTCTCAAGGTGACATAAAAATACTTCGGTCCACTTCCCATGATTACGACTTGATTAAACAACAATCATTTGTGATATTCGAACAGATGCGTGTTACATTAACCATTCCAGAGGGAACCAGTGTCGAAACTGACCAGCCTCGTCTGGCAGTCAGCCTCCCTTATACCACCCGGGTGGTCTGTAATGCCCTGGGGCGGTACATCACGGCCCATCCCGGCCCGCATGAAAGCGGCCGCCCCCTGCCACCATTTCCAGGTTAACGGTCACTCGGGAACGAACTGGCATTGCAATCCGCCCTATAGTGAGGCTCGTTAATATCAATATCAGTCATAACGTTCACTAGTTAACGTCCATCGACCGGTGTGCCGCGCGGCGGCGACCTCGCGCTCGGCGCGTGATAGGGCTGCCGTGAGATCTTGGCCGTAAGGGCCGCCTCCGTACGCGCGGGGAACGTGCCGTGACCGCGCGAACATGCCCCATCGGGGTCCAGCGAGCAAGAATGGCAGTGGGGAAAACTGGGGAAGGGATTCGTGTGAGCAGAGGCATGAAACAGCAATAGCAGCATCCGTTGTGACCGATTGCTCAGTTAATGTCCAGGTGCCGTTAGCTATGGCTGGATGCTCGGAAACGCCGATTTAGAGTTTTCCCGAGCGCTTCCAGTGCGATATCCTGAAATAGAGCTTACTCTGGGGTGAAGGGACTACAATACCACGCGAAGGCAGCCACCCGCATGCGATTATGCATTTCCTGATTGGCGTTGACGTTTCGACGCGTCCAATAAGAGATCAATATAAGATGATGTAACAAGAAGCTGAACACCACTGCTATGTACTAGCCCGGAAGTAATACCAAGAGTGTGCTCATCCTCAAAGGCTCCATCTGTCTGTTGCCATACCGTAGACTTTTGCTCGACCATCAAAGAAATACAACTTTTCATATGTAGATTTACACTTTTCCTCGAAAGCGAATCATCAGACGCCGCGCTGTATGAAATTTCCACCGGACCGTCAGCTCGAGGTCTGCTCGCCACCACTGATCGCCAGCGCTCAGCGTTTTTGGGAAAGTGGGCCCGACGTGCCCCGGCATCGTCAATCGCACCCTATTGCAGGGACGCCGCCAGCCTATATGGGGGCAGTGGCCGGCGGAATTCTGATGTGGCGCCTTTAGAGTGGTGGTGTCTGGTTTGGCGCTTCAGCTCGTGTATCCGAGAGAGGAAAAACTATATTTAGCTACATTTGCTCGGCTTCCAAAAGCCCGACACGTTTGCGGCTTGCTACTGTGTGATCCCAAGACATGACTGGATTTTCATGGACGGCGACATTGGGTCTGATGACTGGGCGGTGGGGTGGAGGCGGCTGGCAGTGGTGGTACACCGATCGATGTGCGCCGCCGCCGCCACCGCCATCGCGTCGCCATCGTGTCATGTCATTGCGTCATGTCATGTCGCCCAGCGTCTGCGCTCCGTCGCTTACGCCTGTCAGAGGCCGATTGTCGACCGTCGCCGGCTGATGTCCCTCGGGCGGACAATCTGCCGCCGTCAGACGGCGCAGCGCTGAGGCTTTTTACCTAATTACAGCGGATCAGCCAGCGGCGAACTTGGCTCTAATTTGGATGGGATGGCTCTGCGGGACTTTTTTTCTTCTTCTTCTGAAGATTGTCGGAAGTTTTGGATGATGAAATTAGCGATATTTGGTTTTGTTTGATTCAAGCCAAGAAGTACCGCATTTTGAGAGGAGTTGTGTGTTCTGACCTCAATGCAATGCACGCACTCTTCTGACCACTTGAAGACCACTGTTTGTCCCATATCGACCACTGAATACTAGTTGCTGAACAGTGGCGTGCGTGCCTTTGTTTTAGAGCCTCTTCTTCCGCCGCTCAGACACATTTACTAAATGGTGACCACAGCTGAGGGCGCGGTCACCCGCTAGCCGATCGGCACGGTTTGTCGTGACCGTTGGGCGGCGCTGAGTACAGACAGACAGGCTGGGAGCTGCCCCAGCTCGCCGTCTGCCGGCGCCGCCCGCCCTTCCGACCTTGGTGCCGGAGCCGCCCGCTGCTGTTACACTGGCCAGCTGCCGCGCTGGGCTCCACGGCCGGCTGGCCGCCAGTGTTTCTAACCTCGCCGGTCCGCGTCTGGGACCCGGCAGTGCTGCAGAGGGCTGTCTCCTCTCGCCGGCCCGGCGACGACGCTCGGAGCCAGCGAGGAAGCTGTTTTTGCCGTGGGCGATAGCCGCGCTGTCTGATGGGCGATGGCTGCCTCGGAACTGGCGGTCCGCGCTGAATAGGAAGGCCATTAGAGCTGGATTTCGCCACTCTGTTTGTCTGTAATAGTGGGATGCCTTTTCCCGAAATCGACGGAGATAGCGCCGGGCGGCGACTTGCTATTAATTTCGCGAAAATGGAGACGACCGGGCGGGTTCCGTTTCCAAGGGAGGTCACTTACCTAATACCTACAGGGGTTTGAAATGTTTATAGAAATAAAGTCAAACTTCTATGAATTCCACATTCAATTTATAGAAGATGTGACGATGTCACTGGATGGTGTGACGATCGGTTGAATGAATGATAAACAAATCATTCGTAGGTTTTTAAAATGGGTATTAAGCCTCCACCTAACGGATAAACTAGATTGAAATGATTGGCCCGGATGTGACCATAGATTGTTGACAGGAGTTCCCTTTAACAGGAATAACCGCATCTAGCTAATGCACTGGAGGGCTCACTATTGTCAAAGCAAATATCTATCACAATTGACAGCTCACCAAACTCGGCATGGCACTGACTTCCGGGACCATTCCTATAAGTGGTTTCGGTTGTAGGAAACGACGTACTCTCCAAAATTGGGCTGTTGTTAATAGCAACGGGTAAATTCTGAATGTTTCGGACACACTTTCGTCCTCATTTTGTACACTGTTGCGGTCAAGAATCATGCGTTCAAGATTCTGTCGGGCGTCATTGATTTAAAATAAATGACAAACATGAAAAGTGAGCACTGGTTGTGTGTGGTTCATCCACCGCTGGCCGCCTCCCTCACCGCCAACCTGACCTCCAGCTGGCTGTGATAGGTCACGAGGGGTCACGAAGCCATGACTGGAGCAGCGCAGGGATATGATGGAGCGAGTCCAGCACCGCACGAGCGGGCCCGATCCGCGGCCAGCTCCGTCAGACACGCGCTGGACTGACGGACGGTGAATACTTGGGAGGGTGACTGGAGAGCCAATGGCCTCGGATTTTTGAAATTCCTGGGTCTTGGATCTTGGGAATCCATATCTCATAGTTGATAGAAAGCCAAATTTTGATGCTTTTTGTGCATATCTAAAAATGCTGTATCTGCTTTAATTATTCTGTATTTTCTTATTGTTATTTCATTCATAACCTTGTTCGTAAGCTTTTGGTGTTTTTAAGACTCTACTTATGTCCTATTTTCTGCGCGAACAACTGTTTGTGAAGATTCATCCAGGTGCGACTCATGTTATAAAGAAAACAGCAGTACGAAGCGCCCCACTTTGCTCGCTCCCAGCAGGATTCCTTGTATCGGAGAAATGAGTTCGGTACTGTGAACTGGTGGCGCTGACACGGTTTTTCGCGTCCGACATGACACCTTTCTAGTAAAACCCAAATGCGTGTCATTTGGACGCACCAGACGACCATTTCGCATCATGCTAACCAAGTAATCGTTTTCCAGAATTGGCGAAACGGTGCGCGATTTTCGGGCTTTTATTGTTTGCGGCCGACTAGAACCCCAAGTGCTAAGTACAGGGTTCTGCGGTGCTAACAGCCTTTCCTGGTCAGTTGCGTGTGTGACGGTGCTTACCCCAGTCAAGTCGCCCTTGTCAGCCCGGCGAGGATACGGTGGGATATGGTGGAGTGCCTCGCCAGTGGGGGGTGTTCTGGTGGCTGCTTGTCGCTGCCGCACGACATCGGAAACTTTCCGGGAACGAGCCGAGTTGGCTGGCCAGTTGGGGAAAGTTTTAACTGGCCGCGGTATGTATTTCAGTGTTGAACACGCCTTCTATGCCAGCTGAATGTCAAGGCGCTCGAGCTGCTGACTCTGCTGACTCGCCGCTCTGTTTTCAGGAGGTGGAGTTGCTGGATATCCTCACCATCAGGGACACCAGGACGGGACGCTACGCGCGCACGCCGAAGGTGAGTGACGCCGGGGAAGCGTAATTGAATAAAGCATCTCTTCACTTAGAGAGATGATTTCACCTATCGTCGGGAAGCTTTGGATTTCTAGTTTCTGAGCAGCGAAGTTCGTCTTGATCATCGGATGGCCCATCAGTAGTTGTGTGGGTCAGCATGCTCAAAAACGGTTATTTTGGCCATGAAAGAAACGATGGCTAATGTACTAACACCACATCCTGTCAACCATGCATATGTGACCCCCATCTTCCCTACTATCCGTCCCCGCACTGTCGTCCCACTGAACCCACTCTAGCCCCCCCCCCTACCCTCCCTCCTCCTCCCTCTCCCACACTATATGCCTCCACACACACCGCCGCCACCGCTGTGCCAGACAGCTTTATTGAAGAGCGTGCTTATCTCTGGGCCGTGAGGAGGAGAGCGCTCGCTCGCCCGGGGCGATAGCGGCTGTCGGGGGCCGGTGTGAGGGCCTCTCTGGCGCTGGGTCCCTCGGGGAGGGAGGGAGGGCTCCCGAGCGGCGCACCGCACTGGAGCGCTAGAATATGTATGATGTCTGGCTCAGTGGTGTGGTGTTTTGCCTGTGCCCGTCACGCGACATGGCAGTGTTTGTGATGGTATGTCGTGTTGTGCCGTGTTGGGTTGTGCCTCCGTATATCATGAGTGGCGGCTGTACCGTGAATTTCGTTGGGACGTGTCTCCGTTTCGTGACCGTTTGTACCGTGACGTTTTATTGAGTCGGTCGTACATTGGTCCCGAGGGATGGTGCACCATGATTCGGGGCTAACAACGCCACGCCCCCTGGCAGACCCACTGATATATTTAGACTCCTCGACATCACATGCCGCCGCTCAGCATATCGTATACCGCATCGTGACAACATGGGATTTATGAATACCGCGCGAGTCGTGCCATTCATCGCCATCGCATGCCACATTTGGCGCTACTGTGACACGCGAGGTTATGATTTGCCGTTTTCTCAGCCGTTTCACATAGCACAAAATTGCGATGTACGATGAAGAATGGCAGTGCTTTACACGTCTGCAGTATTGTCGTGCGGCAACTATTTCATTCCTTTTGGATCATTGCACCATTCACTATTCAACATCCGTCGCTTTTGACTCAACTGAGTCAACACTTGCAAGCTGCATTGTTAAATAACTGATGAACGTCACATTATTCTGCCTGCAACTGCATGTCATCTGTATGTCCAGTGTTTGATTGGGACGTGACATCACCCTACAGCTGATATGAAGTATCATGTTGTGCCCTACCGTCCCATATCGTCCCCTATCGTCCCGTACCGTTCCGTGCCACACCAGTCGTGTTGCGCTGTACCTCGCCGTACCGCCCGTACCGTACCTATCAGCTCCTTCTGTGCCGCTCCGTGCCGCCCGCCCTAGCAGTATCGAGCGGCGGCCCTGACCTCGGCGGCGGCGCGGCGCTCAGGCGCTCGCCGGCCGCCCGTTCCACCGCCCCGGGGCTGTTTACGGTCTGACACCGGTACGGCGGCGCGTGTGAGCCGGCCGCCGGCTGTCTGTCCAACTGATGAGGGACCTCGTGCGGGGCGGGACGGCCGCGCCGGCGCGGTGTAGGCTGTATCGTTACATGGGTATCGGGGCGGTGGTGACGGTCGTGAATGTGAGGGGAGGGGTGGCGTTTTAACATTTTTTTAGCTCAAGGAATTATAGGAGTGAAGAAATAGGAGATGCGCTGTTTCTAGGAAGAAGCTACCTTTATCGAGTGTCGACTTCTGTTACCTAAGGCGAAATAAACGAAATTTAAGTCTTCATATTTCCCACTTATTTCCTCCTGATCCACCTAGAAAGGCTAACACCCACCACATTTTCTCTCCCAATCCGTTGCGTTCGTGACCGGAGGCCCCCGATAGCTCAGGTCTCGATCCGTGCGAGATCAGACGGGTTCCTTTTCAATCCGACCCCGTCTGCGCGGCACAGCCTCTGTCGGCCAGTCCAGCACACCTGGCGGGCAGTGCGGCGGCCGCCGTCCCAGCTGGCTGGTCGTTGCGGTAGGTCGGTCGGCCGCGGCGGGCGGAGCACAGCAGGTGTCGAGCCGCACCGTCGCGGCTGCGGCTGCAGTGGCAGCAGCAGCAGCGGTAGCAGCAGCCCTGTCCCGTGTCCGCGATGGCGAACCAACAAAGTACGAACTCACTGTGCAGCGGAGAGACTGCAGGGGAGACGTGGTTAGCTGACGGGTTTCCCTTACAGTGCCAGTGTCATCGTCATGTCCCCTGTGTTTCCCTTTCTTTCCATCGCCCTCAGACATGAACATCATTGTGTTCATTGTTACCCACCGCCATCCATCGTTCTTCATGTCACCCGTCGCTATCATCTGATATCCACGTATCATCTGACGTACTTCAATCACGGACATGCCGAGACGCCCGGCGTAGATTTGTGGCTCCAGTTTATCATCTTGGCGAGGTGGGCTGTCGCGATGACACTGAGTTTCAGTGGGAAGCCGAGCAGAGATCCCTGCGGAGGTAACGTCCGAATCGGCGGCGAGATCCTGGCTGACGAATGGTGCTAGTGGAATGTGGGATGTGGGTTCTTGGAATGTCTGATGTGGGAAGTTGGACGTGCGAATTAAACGTAGGATGTGACAGATGGTTTTAAACGTACTGACTGAGGCGTAGGCTATACGGAAGGAGAATTATACGTAGCACCTGAAGATTCCAAGCACCAAACTCATGGTGCGCTTCTTCCATAACACTTTTGGGTCCGATCAGGCGCATCCACTGAGCTCCGGAGCCCAGCGTCACCGCCGACTCATCAGGAGGAGGCTGGAGAGCGGTGCTGACACGACACCGAGCGGGTCGTGCAGATGGACGATCGCGGCGCGCCGGCACGCGACGCCGGCTCCCCGTCCGTCTTCTGAATGAGATCTGCTGACTGGTGCCGACGCTGGGGACAGAAGCGGCGGTGACAGCAGCGGTAGCGGCGACGGCAGCGGTGCGGCGACGGCATTGGCGGTGACGGATAGCTTTGGTGGTGGCGGCGGCGGCCTTCGTCATTAGTCTGAGGGAGAAGCGGGGTTTCAGGAAGACGAGGAGCAGCTGAATCTTATGCGAATCCCTACGGGGCTTTGTTAGAATCTACTCAAAATGTTCTGACTTAGGCACTAAGATGTCGTGGGCCTTGCCTCTCTGACAGTTGTCAGCATAGTCGGCGGAACGGGGAGGGCACCGGGGCACCGTGCCCCCCTTTGATTTTGGCATTTTAACATTAGCCCTATGGGCGTTGCATGGAAAGAATGGGACCAAAAGTCGGCAGTGTCCCCACCCTGTATGTGGGGTGGGGGCACTGCCCACTTTTGGGGGCACATACGCTTCGGTAATGGAAGGTGTTCCGCCGCTACTGGTTGTCAGGCCATATTTAGGACGATACCACGAAGTCCGAGTGTTTTTTCCTCGGTGATGTGTGGGACCGGCCGCGACAGGCGTAGGTTCGAACGTCGAACATCCACGTGCCACGGCTAAACGGCTTGTCGCCAGAAGTAGGTGCTGCACTTGTTTCTGCGTACCCTGAGCTGCGGCCACCGCGGTGGTTCCCGGCGGCGAGGGTTGGCTGCCTCTGTTCTGTTAGCGGTGTATCCGATCACGGGCGCCGGCCACTGGGTCAGTGCGGCCGGCCGGTGGATGCTACATATCCGGATTTCATTTAGACTAACATTTTTAAGCAATTAAGTCGGCTTTGCATCGATATTTTTTTGTGGACCAGTGACGGGGTAGTGTAAAGGAAATAGTTATTACATATCCTTGCATATCTTGTCTCCAAATTCTGCGCGGTAGCGTGTACCCAGTATCCAGTATCCAGACCCTGTCCTGTAGCGATCTGTCTTCTGCGTCTGCAATAGACCCTTGTAACCGGCGGACTGTGTATGGTGTATGTACCGGACGGTCTGCCGTTCTTTGTGCCAGCCCTGCAGGGGCTCTATGGACGAGGATGTCCGAACAGCACACATTTGGCGGTGAGTCGGTTACTGGCTTCTGTGGTTGGACCGACCATTGACAGCCTGTGTCTAGTACCGTCGTCTGTCTGGGACGCAGGTGACGGCGACAGCTGGGGTATTCTATGGAATGTAGACTTCACCACAGCTGGCTTTGGTCATAACGAGGCCGCTGCTCCGACCTTCATCACCCCCACATTACTACCGCGGCAGTCGCCTCAGCGATTACCTGTCCAGTGCGGATTGTTGATACTTACCAGACGCTACCCATTCAGCGACTACCTACCTGTCCACAGCGGGCTGTTGATACCAGACGCTACTCATTCCCTGGCGCGCATCGATCGAGTTAACAGTAATACAGGCTCCCGTCGGCCGCTAGCAAAAACGCCGTCACGAAAAAAACTGTATGTCTGTGACCAATGGACCGAAGAAATAGCGCGCCTCGGCGGCGCAATACGTGCCGGAACTGATGATGGAATTCGCCGTCGCGGCTCGCGCTCGCGTAATCAACGGTCGGTGTCTATGGAATCCACAGTGTGCTGCGGTGTAATCAACGGTCGATATTACTTATGAGGACCGTTTATTGTCACCCTGTGGGAGGTGGGTGTTCAGAAACGATGAAAACGGTTAACGACGGTCTGTCTTGGCTACTTATTATGCTAGGGAGTATCGTTATTCGTTAGGTATCGGAACTGGCGTCGGTACTCGGTAGTCGACTCCCGAATTTTGTCCGGCTTCTGTCACCGTGCGGTCGCGCCATCTCCGGTCGCTCTCTGTGACACTGTGTGACCCCAGCTGACCCCGCAGTGCCACTGGCGACCCGGACGTCGCTGCAGTCGACTGCCCGTGCCATCGTGTGAGCTCCCTGACCCGGCCGTGCAGCCCCCGCGACCCGGCCCGGCCACTCAGCTCGCCGGTCCAATCAGGGTCGTTTGTCGCAGGGCTTTTTAAACGGAAATAGCTACGGTATGAACATAGTACTAGCTGTGCTCATGTCTGTCTGTGTCGTTGGCACGTTTGTAATCGTACCCAGTTTAGGGTGAACCTATTTCTTCTAATAGCTGCCAAACCACTGCCACCGTTCTTATTTTCAAGAATCGGAAGGGGATGGCCAAAGCCGCTACGCAATCATACTGACTGATCCTGTGCAGTCTCGTCTGACCTGTCTGTCAACCTGCCTGTCACGTCTCTCTGTGACCTGTCTGTTTCTACGCGACACCATCAGCCACCGACTCGCAGTGACTCGCCCTAACCCGCTCCTTTTCACCCGCAGGACCAGAAGGTGCGGGAAATCGTCACCATGGGCAGCACGGGCACCCTGGAGGACAAGACGCTGACCGTCTGCTACGGCCCGGACGTGGTCAACGTCAGCTTCGTCAACTTCTGCTGCAACAGTCGCGACACGGCCAAGGTAGGATAGTGCTGCAGCATTAGCGATACGGACGAGATAGGGTCGCTTCACCGTTCAGTGCTCATTGTGAAATTAAACATGCGAACAAATTAGTCAAGATGAAAAGCAATGCATTTCTCTTTCGGTCGATTTTTGTACAGATAAATGGTTCAGACATATTTCTGGCAGAACATACGTAGGATACTATTCGCTGTTCTTGATATATTCGGAGCACTTTGAAAGGTTACATTACAAAAATAATCTAAATTTGGTCCTCTACCACCGTCTGTGACTTCGAAGAGAAACATTACAAAACACATCTAAATCTGGCCCCCGTATCCATATCACCGGATATACATCCCAGTGACGTGTAGGGCCAGGAAGTCATTTGGTCTGATTGGTCTGAATGTCTGGTCCGCGGGCGATAGTTCCCGCTCGTCACGCTATGGTACCGCTCACGACACCCCTGCCTGAGGCCGGTCCGGTCGGCCGCCCGTGTTACTGTGAGTGGATGACGCCGGTGGTGGTGCCGATGTGTCACACAGGCTGGGTTATTATCGTTATTATCCGGTGGTGTGCGCCGGTACCACGGTTGAGTGAGAACGCAGCTCGACGTGATATGGCATGATCATAGGAATCAGGGGCAGTGGGGTGCTCACTGCTCATAGCACACATCGGTTGCTTCTCACCCAGCGCTGCTGATTTTTTTTTTCTAACAGCGCTTACGGAAGCATAATCAGTAATCACCACAAATTGCCAATGCAAAATGCTTCCCTCGCATTTGCGTCCATCGCATCTCATCTCAACATTACTAGGAATGAGTAAATTCACGTGAATGCATATTTCCCAACACTTTTATCGTTTTAGACGCTGCTTTGTATGGCGTGAATGGCGAAGTACGTCAATTTATAAAATGGGGTCGCTGGTGACAGCTCCGTAGCTGGTGTCACTGCGCCATAGCGGCCCGCGTATCGATTATCGATTCACACGCTGGGACTTTGTGACTGCTGGTGGCAACAAACCATGGTCTTGGCCTTTGACTATGATCGATCATGACAAACTTCGACCATCAAGGCCTTAACAAGATCTATCTAACAAGGCTACCGGAATCGATTCATATTTATAGCAGTTAATGCTCATTGTCCCTTTGCATGCAAGGGCTTTGATGGGGACCAACTGGTGAACTATCTAACTGGGTCCAATATAGCAACCTTTTGTTCGAATGTATCGTGAAACTTGGATGCTGATTGGTATTGTTACGTTCTAATACCATCGTTTTTATGAGCAAAATGTTCAAACAGCAGACTGACTGCTGCTTAATGACTGAATGAAATGCGGTAGCTTCCAGATATGATGTGCTTCCAGCGTTTGATCGCTGCTTGGCTGATCTATAGTTGCACATGCATGAATAATCCGTATGGCCTCCCCTGAGTCCCCATGCCCATGTCATGCGTGTGCGGAGCGACCTCTGATAGGACTGTTCATCGACAGTTTTACCCAGCTGAAATATCAGCAATGTGCCTTGACCTGACCTGACCTGACCTGACCTGACCTGACTTCTCCCCAGCTGTGGTGCGACGAGCTGCTGAAGATGGCGTACAACCTGCTGTCGCTGAACGGCAGCATCACCACGTTCCTGCAGAAGGCGCACACACGCATCTGTCGGGACGTGGATCGCGCCGGCCGGATCCCCGTCAAACAGTGAGTGTTGACGGACCTCCCCGGTCACCGGGCAGCGTGGGGAACCCGAATATGGGGAATACGGGATACCGCGACCGGTCCCAGATCTGAGAGCGGGGCGATAATGGCGAGATGTCCCATCAAAAGACGTGCGAATAGCGGAGCTTTAATGAGCCAGAACGGTAACTCAAGCTCGTGCTCTACCTTAGTCGAGCCATTTCAATTTCAAATGAGACAGGGAATCCCTCTCGTCACACAGTGGCATGCAGGTACTTATCTAGTTGTTACTCAGATGTGCGCTCCTCATTAGAGCAAAGGGCCTCATACGTAAATTACGAGTATATCGTTCTTTGTTGATTTTTCTCTGCTCACTGCTCAGCTTTGAGCTTCAAGGCAAAAAATCTCATTCTGAGCTCGCCATCTCCGGGTACCAATTAGGAAAGTTCATTTGCGAAGTCGGCAGGGAGCAAACCAACGAACACCTTCTCCTAGCATGGTGAGCTACACAGCGTGAGGATGGTGGCGTGTTCTTCCCAGATCAGACGCTCGCCAAGGAATTCACGACGTTGACTTTTCATCATGGATGGGATTCGGCGGATCACTCGTTTGAGACGCCCTGGGTGCGATCATCGTCAGCGATCGTTTGTTTGATTTGTGATGTCATTGGCAGTATCGTCACGGTGCTGCTGTGTTTGAGCGTTGGTGCTAGAACGATGACGCTTGGCTGGAACGGCAGTGTGGTACTACGATTCTTGAGACGGACGGTATTGCAAGGTTTTCTGTAGTAGCCTACAGACAAACATGTTGCAAATGACCTCTCTGACACCTAATTCTCGAGTTAACTTTGCTACCGGTTCCAACTGCCATCTCAGCGCTTACATTTAGCACGAGAGAGGCGAAAAGTAGCCAGAATAACCCTTATGCCCGGTCCACGGGCCGTGGCTGTATGTCTGGCCCGACTGCGTGGGGCGAGGATCTGCCGGTCCACGCTCAGTACCTCCATCGATCCCGACGAGGCGCTATTCCGGCCGTGTGTTATTCGGCCAATCCCAGCGGCGGCGTTCGCTGATGGCGCCTTTTTGCCGTCTGTCCGACCCGCATTGTTTACCTAGTGGGCGTTGGACCTGTCTCATCTCCTTGCGGCAACGCGGGCAGGTATCAGAAGCGGCATAAGCTTCGCCTGCTTCCTCGCGCTGCGGCGCTTCTGAGCTAGAGGTGGCAAAAGGTGACAATTTTGGGTACCAGACTCGAACCAGACCCGGCTGGACATTTCTGGAACCAGTCAGACCCGTTATAAAATGGAATCGGAACCAGTTGGACCCGTTCCCCAAAAGTCAATGAATACAAACCATTTGTAGAAACCATTAGTTGCATCATGTTAGCCTTTTTCCTACTGGGAATGCTTATGAGCTATAGTGTGGAAAGGAACATACATGAGCAAATGTTTTCTTCCCATTTACTTCAATATTTTGCAATCAGGCGTAGAGTGCAAGATGTAGGTTTATGGTAGGACCCGGTTGGACCCGTCAGAAAATTTCCAGGAACCGGTCTAGAACTATATGGATCCAGACCGGTTCTTTGGACCGGGTCATCGTGTCCACATTTTGCCACCTCTATTCTGAGCCCACCACCTGACCCCGACCCCGACCCCGAGTCCAGCGTCTGACGGCCAGCAGAAGCCACTGGTCGGCCGGCGCCGGCCGCGCGACAGACACAATCGATGACCCTATTGGTGAGCGCCGACCGGCCGCCGGCCGGCAGCCATTGCCTATTCATGACGGGCTCAGTGACGGCTGTCGCGGCACCCACCGCCTCCCGGCGACGAACGGGCGACGGACGGGCGACGGGAGTTCGACCGTCCACCGACGCCGCCCTGTGGGACGTCGGTGCTGGGATGTGCCGGGTTCTAACCTTGTCCTGTTTTGTCCCTGCCCGCCCGTCCCTGCTATCTATTCCCTATCCTGCCCTGGCCACTGCCAGCCTGCATTGCCGAGACCCCGCGGGGTGGCAGGCGGTCCGGACAGGCGCGGATTGGGAATTGTTTGTGGTGACCGTGCGGCCGCCGTGGTGGGGCGGTCTGCTGATTGCTGCCGCGACACTGGATGGTGCCGTGACCATCCATGGCGCGTGCCTGTGGTGTTGACCGCTACTCGACTGTCAGGACATACTGGCTGGCGGTGGCAGTCCTTGGGATGTCACCCCCCCCCCCCCCCTGACTCCGGAGTCCCTGGCGGCACACGGCACAGAGCCCCCGTGGGGTCCGCGCCGGCCTCTGTGGCGGCGCAGACCGCCCCCGGCGGCGGCCGCCGCTGTTTATAAGAGCTCGCTAATGACTGCGCCCGACTGCGAGACGCTTACGCAGCCCGCTGTTTGGGCCCGCAGCATTGTGCTCTATTCTGGGCGTTCAGCCGGCTCGCCCCGTCTTCGGTGAAGTAGATTGGATTCTTCAGTTAATTTTTCTGCGCCTATCAACTCTTCATCGTCGTAATTTGATAAGTGCTGACTTGGCCGTATTTTACTTGGAGCTTAGTGCTGACTAAAGCCATATGATTTTCTTTGTGTTCTAATTTCCAACCGACCAGCGTGTTTTGCCGAGGGAAAACGCTGATATCTCCATTCCACTCAGGCGCACGGGGGAGAATTACCTATAAGAAACGCTGGCGTAACGAGCGCCCTGCTTAGCGATGCTTAGTGCGTAGGCATCTGGTGGGATAATGAGGAAATGGGGCGTATATCGTAAGGCATGTCTCGATACCTACAACCAAGCGTTTTTACCTGAGAATTTCTTAGCATGGCATCCGCCTTCCTGTTCGTGCCGTCGTCGACGCTGTCCCTGCCGTCGTCGTCGTCGTCGCTGTCTGTGCCGACGGTGCCGACGGCCATTTTCTGGGAAGCGGCGCCGGCTCCGGTGTCGACGGCAGACCGTTATTAGGACGCTAGGGGAGGGGGGCAGGGGGCTTCTGGTGTCTCCGCGCCGTCTGTGGTGGAGCTTGAATTTAGCCGCCGCCAGCGCAGTGTTGTTGTTTTGGTTGGATTGTGCTTTGTCAGGGACGGATGGAAATTCATAAACTGGGGTATAGATTTTATTTGAACGACGAGTCTTTCACTCATATTTGAGTAGAGGAGTGGACCTGGTCCCGCACCATGCGTCTACCGACGTTTTTTGTCCCTTGGCATGGTTACTAAGTGTGTGCCGGTAGCGGTATGTGGCGCTGGAATCGCCTTCATCACTGCCACACGGCCATGGAACACCGGACGGCCAGTGCTTGCCGTACGCACGTCTCGGGCTGGCAGGATGGCCGTGATTTGTCCGTGTCAGCCAGCGCGATGAATTAGAGGCCGTCCGCTGAACGTGCTACCCCTGATCCGTCATGTTATGTAACACGTTAAGTCGGCCCTGGCATTATGGCGCCACTAGGAATGTGCAACTGCGAACAACCTGTTGAGAGTGACTGAGAGCCTGCACTTTGGGAAAGGTCAGCGGCAGCTGAATATACTTCACTCGTTATGGTTTAAGTTGCACCACAAAGAGCACACTTGCCCTTTTGAGTCAAAAACAAACCACCGCCTTGTCCCACCCTGCTGTGCAGTATTGATCTCATCTCAAAGGATGCCTGGCCGACTCCGTGCAGCCGCCGAGACGGCGCCGCCCGTTCACGACCGGCGTGTGTGCAGGTCCGCCGCTTTATGTGGCCCACTACAATCGTGCTGACATTTTTCTGCCCTAAATTTGACCCGTCAAAGCGGTGTCCGGCGCTCATCGGGTCTAAATTTAGCCTCGGCGGCCATCGGAGGCGCCGAACGGCCGCCGCCCCCGCCGCTCCGGGGAATCGCTCGCCGGCTGGTGGTGGTGGCGGTGCTGCTAAAGTGGGCGGGTTCCAGCGGCCCGCAGTCGCCTGGAACCGCCCGCACCAGCCTGTCCGCACCAATCGTGGTGACAGGGAGCGCCAGAGGCAGGGCCGAGTAACGGGGCGAGGTGGACGTCCTTTGATGTTCTAAGATGATGAGAGAATCATTGCAAGAATATGCTGCATCATTCACATGCTGATTGCAATTACCAGTCAGTATGATATTCTGGGAATGTTGCTGGCTCCTTACGCGTTGATTGAGTGACAAGGATGTCATTTTATTGAACCGTCGCCGAACCGGTTATTCATTATCATCCCCGCTCTCTGAAGGCTCCCCCTCCCCCGCCACGCCCCCGAACCCGTTAGTGCTGACGTCACCCGAGGCCGAAGCCCGGCTGTCTGAGGTGGCCGCTGCTGTCGCCGGTCCGCAGATCACGCCGGCCGCCCTGCTGACACGGCGCAGACGGCACTGCTGGCGGGCGGCCGGCGGCGATACCGCTGATGACGCCTCTGAACTATCCGGCGCACCCAGCGCGTCTGTTGTGGATGACGTTCATTTCCGCTAGCTCTGGACCGGGAGCTCATCAGCGATGTATCCCATGCTCAGTGAACCGTTAGGTAATTGCGGGAATGGCATCCATTCGCGTCATTGAGTTCTTCTGCAATCGGCCGTGTTTACAGCGTTATTTGGCCGCAATTTGTTTGTCTCGCGTCGTCGAGCTTTCCGTGTCATCTGGCTCTCATCTCCCGGTGGGTGTTATTCATTTGTCTTCTGCCGTGATCGTGCCGTGCTGGGTCTGGGCTTGTCTCTGTGTGCGCCCACCGCGCTGGGTCTGAGAGGCTGTCTCTGGCTGCGCTGCCCTGCCTCTGCTGTGGGTCTGAGGACGGTCTGGGGCTTCGCTGGCCCGCTGCGCTGAGTTTGATGACTATCTCGGGTTGCGCTGGGTCTGAGGGCTGCCTCGGGCTGCGCTGGCCTGCCGCTGCACTGGTGTGTGGGTGTGCGTCTGAGAGTGCCGTCATCCCGCCAGCTCGGCTGATTGTGAGGCCGCCGGCGTCCCCGGGCGGCTCTCGGGGCCGGTCGGCTCGGACGTGAAGTGGCCGCCGAGTGCGAGCAACGTCGTTACCGACGGCGGGTCTCGGCCTCTCGGCTGTCGGCTCCGACCGGCTCCGGACGGCTCTCGGCCTCTCAGCCGACGACGGCCGCGATTGAAAATGACGCATCCCGAGGAGAGAGACGGCCGGACGGCCGGAGGAGCGGTGGGAGATAGGTCTTGTCAAACGAGGAGCTGCTTAAACTAGGAGGCTTTTTTACGTAGGATGGTGTTGGGCTCAGCCGCCATATGTATTTAAGGAGTAAAGGATTTTAAGCGGAAAATCATTTATAAGTTTGCAGCCTTTGTAATAAGCAATCGGGCAGAAATGGGTTTGCATTGCACCACTGCAAGTGTAATTCACCAAATGGAAATTTAAAACCGTTTCCAGTTACATCAAGCTTCTCTTAGCAATCGATGTCAAGCTACACTTATTATAAGCCATTAATCCTTTTTGACAGATTTGATCTTACCCAGCTCTGGTCTTTTGATGATTCGGTATTAATCCGACAGCCAAGGGCTAGTTAGCTTTTGATGAACGACATGTCAGCAGCTTATGTGACGACAGCTCATTTAGTTGGTGACGGCTGCGAAATTGGGACGCTGGTGATCCGAGAATCGACCCTGCCATCAAACCACCTACCGACGGGGCTGTACGCGCTGCAAGCGTTATGCTCGACAATCGACATGGCTCGCCAGTATCGATGGCATATTTGTTTTGTCACGATTCTGAATACTCGTTTCGTGATAGGCAATTTACTGTTTATTCTGTATTACTTTAAAAGTGGTCGTCGTTGATCGGTTTTGAAGACAGGACCTGACGCCTGTCTGGACAATGCGGTGTGAGCGGCAATCTTGCAATCTGTTCACTCATGCCACAAGAGTGACTCCATATTAAACTGGTGTGATGCGGGTCAGGAACAGGTGACCCAACAGGTCAGTATTCGGTCACCAGTTAGTAGTTTACTGCAGCATGTAGCTGAGCAGTCTCAGACGTTGGACAGCTGGAATATAACACCTGAATACATCACAGAGCCTGCCTGTCCGGTCGGACGAGGGGCGCGGGAGCCGTGCATAAACGAAGGGGTCACATGGTTGAACGAAAGGCTGCACCAAGCACTCATGCTATCTTGGAACTTGGCTGCACAATGCACACGACGATCCGCCGGTTACTCCACCGAGCAGAAATGAGAATAACGGAAACAGTCATATTATCTTTCTTCCGGTACCTTACAATCCATGACTACCCGGCCGGTGCATCTCGGTACGCTGGTATCGGCCCACAGTTGTGTAATTTCGCTAGCCGACGTCCGGCCCAGCTTCCGTTCTGGTAATGCTGCGGAACGCGCTGGGAACGGACCAGCCGGCTGATGAGAGCTGGTGGGAGCCGGCTGCACGTCGGATGAACCAGCCGGCTGATGAGAGCTGGTTGGTGCTGGTTTGTGCTGGTGGTTGTTTGTGGGAGCTGACTGAGGTAGCCGGGACGTGCAGTGGTGTGGGATGAACCAAGAGGCGATTAGCTCATTTCAACATTTTCTACGCTCATTTGTACTTCGGTGTGGGGAATCACCATCTGATTTTATCCGTCTCTCCCACCACATTCCACATCTCCCCTCTCTGTGCCATCTTTTATATCCCCACCCCACATCTCCTGTGCCGCTGTGGGTACTCTCCGTCCGTCAAGTGGCCTCCCGCCTCTTGCTGAATGCTATCTACCCATCTGCACCGTAAAGAGAAGGAGACCGTCCCTGGGCAGCCTACCCCGGACCAGCTGCCCGGCTGCCCACCCAGCTGATCTATGGTAAACAGCGGGGAAGTGTCCGATGTTGTTGTTCCGGGTGGGCCCTGGGTGAGGCTCTCAATTGTGCCGTGCCGAGAGACGAGTGGAAACTGGTTAGCCAGATACGCCGACCTAGTACAGTGTGCTGTGTTTATGGGTGACGGGATAGTCGGCATTCCTTGGATTCCTCACATGAGTCTGTGTTCGTGGATGAAATGTAAACACTGGCGTCTGGTATGACCGGATGGAAATTCCACTGGGTGTCCACAGCCTGTATACGAGCGCGTCGAAACAATGTGTCTGTGGCGAAGAACATTGATACAAGTTAATTAATATTCCAGACTTTTCAACACGGATCCTCTCCGAGCGTTGACCGTAGACTATTGACTTGATTGATCCGTGTCTCTAATCGGCCGTTGTGGCCCAGTTTGCGCTATTATTGGCTGCCACTGATACGTTAAGTCGATCTGGGTGGGTTCGATGACCGTTCTTTGCACGCAGCAGTTGCGCCGCGTTTCACCGAAATCTGAGCGGTCCTAGCCAGGCATGGTCTGCTGACCGCCGCGGGAGGACCCACGTGTACGATCTGCTGGCCGCCGCGCCGGGCGGTGCCAGTCTGTCCGCGCTCGGCCGGCCCAGCGCTGACCTTTGGCTCCGCTATTACCCCGGTCAGAGGAGCGGCGTGTCACCGGCGGCGGCCCGGCGACATTTGCGGCGCGCCGGGGACACCGGTGCCGCAGCCGGCGCGCCGCGCGCCCAGTTTTGGAACTGTGCCGGCGGGCGGGGCGGAATGACCGGGAGACGGCTACCGTGCGTGACTTCAGGGTATTGAGTGCGATGATTGGATTTGAGACTCGAGGTTTGGACCGCAGACATAGAGGGAGCTGGGGGGGGGGGGGGAAGGGGGGGGGGGCGGTGGGATTTAATGGTTTTAAAGTGGAGTTGACGAGCTGGAAAGGTGCACTGATCCAATCAAAATGAGCTGTTTCATATGGCCTTTCTATGTACTGAAACCAGAAATAAGTAGGTATGGGAGCAGTTTCCCGTGGCTTTTGTGGTAGTTTCGCCTCCCCTTTTCCGCCTTTTTCGTCGTGAAACGGGCGTAAATTTGTCAAAGAACTCGTTTAACCGTGCTTTCCGTCTAAGTTCCGCACAATAAACCCGCTCCCCGAAGACGTTTCCTTTCCACACCCCTCCCCGTGTCTGTGTGTCGTTAACCCATTCCCGTAACGGTGGCTATCTCTGCAGTCAAGTGGCGCTCTGTTCACGCTTCGCTCCTGTTCTGTTGCAGCGTGGTGAAGTCTATAGCCAGTAATAAGGAGGACCGGAAGCGTGTCGAAAAGGCGATGGAGGCGGCAGGTCTACCGAGTGGGAAGGTGAGGTGACGCTTCATTCAATTCAAATGTAGGTGACCTGACTCATCACTAGATCACGTATTGAACTGCACTCAAACTGGTAGTTATTCTTATCGCGTCGCTATAATGAAATATGGCCTGCTGACCAGCGCTCTGAATTCTAGTTCGAGTTCAGTTTGGACTTTCCATTTGTTGCTCTGAAATCACTGCCAGCATTAAATCAAATGGTTGAAATCAGGACCCTGAACTGGCTGTCTCGTTTGAGAAAACTTGAACGGAAATCCATGAGTCCAGTTTCGGTGACATTCAGCCCCCCTAACTTGTCGGCTCGACTTAGGCCCCGGGACTGACGGAACTGGAGGTTTGCTGGTCACGGAGCTGTCTAAGGCGGCTGCCGATGACAACCTGGGCGGCACACTTTGGAGCGTGGTCAGAATGAATAACGTCGTGTGATGGTTTGGCCGGTGGCTGCCCCGCCCCCTGCCCCCGTCTTAGCTCGCTGGTGTCAGCTATGGGTACTGCGTTAGGACCCAGATAAGACTGTCATCAGATATAAGCAGTGTCGATAGAAGCGGGACTGGTGTTGGAAACTGTCCGAGTCGCGGAAGGTGGATGCTTCAGCGGCGCACGGTTATGCGCAGAAGGAGCTGTGGCAGGACGGATCTGGCCCCACCCGCATGTATCATTGCCCCTCGCACTCATCACCAGTATAGCCAACAGTCAGATTCAACACACAGTTGATAGCCATATGACAATAGTCCAATTTACCCTCTATGACGCCTTCTGCTCCCTTCGCTGGCACGTCGTCTCAGCCCTTCCCCCAAGCAGCGCTAGTGTCGACCCTCCGCCAGGCCCTGTGACCTGCCCTGACCCGACCCCGGCTTGGCACGCCCCTCTCACACCGCCCGGCGCCCCGTTTCTTCCCAGTCTGACACGCTAGAACCCGAGGCGTTCACATTCAGACACTTCCTGGCATTCTACATGCACCTGACCGGACGACAGGAGCTGGAACGCATCTTCGACGAACTGTAAGCCATTTGTCCGGTGAATCTGTGTGTGCGTGTGTTGGTGTATGTCTGTGTGTTTGTTGTTTGTGTGTGCATATGTTAGTTGCGCGACTTGCTTGCTGCAGTATTTTTTGCGACTTTCGAGGTAGTTATCGTCAGGGTTGCCTCATTATCAGGGCGTTAGGCGTCGTTGTTGGTTTTGGAAGGGATATACTGACAATGTAGGACTCCTACCTTCTTGGTGTTTGTCACTGAGCTGTGCTATAGTTCACGTTTTCTTTCCTCATCTCATTTTTGGATAGCTATAGCTGGTGCAATCTGTCGTGCTGTGTTTTATTGTCCGTTACGTGAATGCTCATGTCTTGCATGCTAAGACCGCCGCTACTATCAAACGAACCGGCTATTATTGTTTATTCACCACAGCTACCATTAACCCTCTGTTATAGGTTATATGTGCATTTTTGTCAGTCACTAACCTACTCTTCAATAACTCCACCCCCATCTTATTTGCGTCTATCTTGATATCCTCGAAATAACCCAGCCCAAAACCGTTATGCGATGCTAACGAGACCCTGTCGCCTTGGCTCGCCGCTGCGCCAGTGCTCTCCCCGGCACCTCCGCTCTCTGCTGTGGTTTCACCACATTCCTGACCGTTTACCGTCCTCGGGCTGTCTCAGCTGATCATCCCTCACACTCCTCCGATATATCACCGATCACCGCCGTCACCGGCCGCTATTGTCCCACCATACCAGTGACGTCAGTGGTAACGGTGACGTCACTGGACGGCGGCGACAGCGCGCGGCACGGCCGTGTTCCACAGGCTGTCAACGAGGTGTTGACGCGCGGCTACACGTCGACAGGGGGGGGGCAAGGTCAGCCGGGGTCGCCGGCCGGACCGGACCGGCCGCGATAGGCCGCCGGGGGTGGGGAGGGGCGTTAATGTCACCGGTCCGCCGCTCTGTCCGTGTGCGGTGTATGGGGGCCCGATGTCGGCTGTGGCGAAGTGGATTGTATAACGTCTCTGCCGTTATACATACAATCCGCAGCTCGGAATGCCCCGTATCGCTTTGGTAACGCTCCACTTCTGTCCTGTCTATACCAGACGTGAAGCGTATCGACGCGCCTGGGACTGATCGATGCTGGATACGGAGCTACTACTAATGTATTTCAGACCCCGTGAGACCCTGTTTTTCGGCGATAATTTCTTCAGTTTTTGTCTAATTGGCTTGAAATTTTGACATTAGACATTTCAGCTCAAGCGCCGATTTTCATCAATATGGTCTCTGAACAAAATGTCAATATTAAGAGCACTTGTCATTGGCTCGTAATGCTAATTAGATTTTACACCCGGATAGAGGCTCGTTCGCTACCGCAGCGGATTGGATGGGAGCGCTGGCCAATCACGTTGCGCCGGGCCCAACTAAGCTCCGCCCACTGGCCGTGACCGCGCTGGGTATATGCAGGCTCAGTCGGCGGCAGCACCGCGGAGAGGTCGCATGGGGGCCGTGCACTGGAAACATACATGGAATCGGCAGGAAGTGCCTGAGCGTCGAGCGAAAGCTTGCTCTTCATTTGGGGGAGTTGGTAACCGCTTCTCTCTTTTTGGTATATCAACACCGATCCAGCTCAGAATATGAATAATAATCAAAATGAGGATATTAACCTCCCCAGAACCAACATTAAATAGAGAGCTGAGTCATGCACTATCTGAATATCTGAATGAATGCACATTCTGGCGCCTACTTCATGGTCAGGTCGTGCCACTATTCTGTCACCTATGACATCATGCGAAGCCTCTGCACTACTCGAAAATATCGATATGGTTGGCTGCGTCAATTGCTGTTTCTGAAGACGCTATACCTACCTAACTATGCAGAAAAAAACAGAGTAGGATTATTAGTCGCGAGCACTTCTGATTGCCTCAGACATCGCTCCACGAGCTGTGTTCGTTTTCGGGAAGCGTTGAGAAGGGAACAGAAATGTGATGTGCGATTTATTGCGCATGGTAGAAATGTGACATCAGAATAAGGGAAACAAGCGCATAGGCTAGTAAAGAAATCGCGTCTTTTTGTGAAACTAAAGTAACATTTCAAGCTCTCCAATAGTGAGGCAGTAGGCTTGCTTACAGGCATCTTAATTATTTGCAGTTCAACACAAAAGCCTGGGGTCAAGTCAGTCCGGTGACCTCAATCTAGCCAATTATAAAATGGGCTAGTTCTGAAGGTGTTCAATCCCATGAAATCATCTCAAGCATACGCATAAGCATAATATATTTCATATTTTAACCACACTTCTTAAAGGGACTATCCCACCTTTAACATGGGGTTTGAGTTGAGATAGCCAAGTTTGCGGCGAGGTTCAGAAACCACTATCTATCTAGGTTGGAACCCCCGCGGCCTCTTGGTGTTGAAGAAATTCGTTCCCTTCATTTGAAAATGGGCCTTGTACAAGGCCCTATCTTCAACATGGAGCGACCGTTAGTGTGACGTCACCTCGTTTAGTCATTCTGATTTAAATGGGTTTGTCCGTTGAAAAATCGCTTAAAACTTGGTCTGAACTTTGTTGTGGTGCCTACAGATTAAAAAGAATCAGCTTTATGACAGTAATGTGGCCTGGGGAAGGAGGTAATTTTGGGCTGTGACGTCACATATTTGAAAGTTTGTGTTTGGAATATGGGAAGCCTAAGATGTTTAATGAAAAATAAATGCCAGAACCGTGTTCCTGGTCATCCAATCTATAAAGTCGGGCACAATTTAACTGGTTTTAACAACATTTTAGAAGGTGGGATAGTCCCTTTAAATGCTACGGTGTAACTGTTTACCATGCCTTGCAAATTTGACGTAGGTTGACCGACGTCTTGCATCAGTTCACAGTCAATTGACATCAACGGCCTTTTTTAATAACGCTCAATCAAGCAAAAATGCAGTCACTAGCCCTGAACTCAGTATTAAAGTAGATATATCTTTATTGATTGACAAGGTGCAGGTTAATTTGCGATAAATGCAATACCGAAGGCTAGTGCGCTAATAACGAGCGCTAGTTTCTGCTGTATCGTTATTACTGCAACGGCAACCGCAAGGCAGCCACGTCCAATGCGAGCCGCCCCGGTCCGGCATTACGACCTTGGGTGCGGCGGCTAGAGGTACTGCCCCGTCGGCTCCACGCATCCGACTGACCGGCCAAGGTCACCGCTCCGTCCGCCGGGAGGGCGGAGCTTAATGGTCACGTGCCTGTGACGTCACACCTACGTACGGATAGCCTCTACTCCACTGACGGATTTACGGAGCTGATTTTAACATTACGAGGCAACGACAAGTACCCTAACAATTGATATTTTGTTAAGAGACCATATTAGCGAAAATTGGCGCTTGAGCTGAAATGTGCTGTGCGAAAATTTGAAGCCAATTGGATAAATATTAAATAAATTATCGCCGAAAAACAGGGTCTCATGGGGTCTGAAATGCATAGTAGGTAGCAATGACCGTTCAATGACCGTTGGGATGAGATGTCCTTGTCCACTCTGGTACACAAACTACTCATATCGGGTCACATGAGCTAAATTTGGAGCAGGCTAGACATAACAGACTGGTGCTCAAACTGTGAGGAATGTCAGCAGAAAACATCGATCATCCAAGAGAGTTTGTTTACATCGAATGGCGAAATGATCAGTTCTTTGGCTACACCGACATGAACTGCGACTGCTGGTAGGTACTTACTTATCTTCGATGATTGGCGGAAACATTTCAACGCAGTGCTTGACGCGCTTGCTGGGCAATTTCGGATGTTTTGTCAAGTATGATTATAACGACTTGCTGCATAGCGCTGAGACCCGTACCTTCGTAGCAACTGGCGCTTTGGCGGCTAATTGACGTCATCTGCTTATAAAGTTTGGAAAACACATTCCGCTACAGCATGGCCAAGAATTATTTCTGCTAGATTTGGTTAATGTGGTATGTTCTTCCTAAAGTACGTTTTGTTGGCCCAGGCAGTGACATAAGTGGTAACCATTTATTGAATGTCGAACAGATTTATTCTCCATATTTAGTGCCTCCCGCACCGCACTCACAAGCTGAGTGCGGTGAAATGCTAGGAGAAATGCTACTGAAGCCATCCTGTACTGGTTTCCGCTCCCAAAGAATGCTGACGTTCTTCCTGTGAAGTCCTTTTTAGAAAACTGAGATTTAAGTTTTCCAGTATTGTTTATACGAAGAAATTTCGTAACGAAATTGTCCCTTATCGAATACAGCCATTTTAGAATATGCGCTGAAATTATGATGAATCGTTATTGTTTTGTCTTTAATGCAAAGTGGCATTTTTATCATAATTATATAGAGGTTGTTTCAATATCACTGCTCACCGACCCTTTCCACCGATGATTTAACGTTGTGGGGCCATCGGCATCACAAACTAACTCACTCCCCTTATGACGACCGTGTGCCACACCAGTGGAGTGTCGTACCCGCGGCCCACCGCAGTCGGCTGCGGTGCGCGCCGATGGGTCTGGGCTCTGCCGCTGTTTACCATGTAGCTCGTGCGTCAGAGTGAGCTCCCTCTCGGCGAACTGCCTTCTGTTTATCGGACTACCTCCCCCGCGGCCGGCCGGTGCCGGGCGGTGCTGCCGCCGGTGACTGGAAGACACCAGGACACACCTGGGCCGGTGGACCTAGCGGGGTGGTTACTTCCAATACCACAGAAGCCGAGATATGTCCGAGGCGTCAAAAGGAATCTTGACTGGAATTCAGATAGTTCACTAAGGACTCACTGTACGAGAGGATGAGTGTCGGGTTCTCACTGTACATGAGTGTGGGGTTCTCAGAACTTTTACAGAGCACGGCAGGGGTGTCACACTGCGACAAGTGACTGATGGACTGGGGAAGTTCCTCAGAGACCAGTCTCGTCTCCTGCACCGCTGTGATATGGGATACGGCGGACTACCGAACCCCTGATTGGAGTGGCGGGATATGGGTGAGGTCATGCGCGGTCCGTTCCGAGAAAAGCCGATAGCGTGGCAGTGGCCAGACGTCCAGTGAAATATAGCCCGGTGAACGCCGTATAGAACGGTCGGCGTGGCCGGTCGATCCCTCTGGGCTATAATGGCATGTTGGCTCCAGACTTTGGTGACTGATGGTGTTTTCCCTGAGTGCCGAGCGATACTCCCGCCAGCGTGGGGTAGATATTGGAGTGGATTCGCCAATTATTTAGTCAAAATGTGTTTTTATTGAGAGCTTGGTTCCGACGCTTTCATTGAAATGATGCCTTTGGGTGGTGTTTGAGTGTTGGATGTTTTGCCTCTCTAATAGTTGTGTTTGTGCAATTGCTTCTTGTTTGCCTGGTCCGTCGTGGATGTTCTAGGAAAGCAAAAATGTTGCTGAAAATGATGCATCCATGTCGCTAAGAATGAAATATGACTTTAAATTTGTAGCCATCATAAAAGATGATAATCGATGTTTTGCATGGGACCTCGCCTAATCACACTTTTTCTATGCTGTTGTGGCCGACTACCCTCTTTTGTCTCCGTGACCGGTGCCGGCCCTGCCCTCTCCCCGTGTGCCTGGCACACCCACTCTAAAATCATCTCACTAACCCGCCTCATCCATCTGTCTTTAGGTGCGGCTGCAAGAGGAAGAGCTTCATGACCGTGCAGCAGGTGGTAAACTTCCTCAATAACGAGCAGCGCGACCCCCGGCTCAACGAGATCCTCTACCCGTACGTGGACGAGCAGAAGGCGCGAGAGCTGATCGCCCAGTACGAACCCAACAAGGCCAATGTGAACAAAGGTAAGCGGCGCGCGGGGTAGGCGCTCTGGATGGTTTACTGTCCTTATTTATTTTAACAGTGAAACATGATTCGTTGGGTGCGTGGTTTTTACAGATTCCATGGAAATCAGTGGTGTGCTGGAATTACCGTTGTCAAATGAGTAAGACACTATCCAGTCTCAGTGCAGCACAAGCACAGCTTCGGTAAACATGTAAACAGAGAGCCCGAAACGCAAGTACCGCCGGACATGATTACTCACTCGCCGTTTGTCTTTTGTTGGAAAATCCAGGGTTGTAAAGCCCAAAGTATTTCGGTGACGGTAGATGACCAGAAGTCAATATTGACTGGATGCTGACTACTCACTGCTGGCTAGCGAATATCATGCTTACGAGCCGCCTGTTCCACGGGGCGTTGAGACACCCCTTCGAAGTCAGTTTGTTTTCACTTCTCCTTAGTTCAGTCGAAGTGCTTGTATTAGCTCGTCGTTTACATCTAACTAGGAGATCAAGCCACTTACTGATATTCCTCGTGCCGTTCGTCAGATCAGCTGAGTCTGGAGGGGTTCATGCACTACCTGATGAGCGAGGACAACGGCGTGATACCTCCGGAGAAGTACGATCTCAGCGACGACATGGAGCAGCCGCTGTCGCACTACTTCATCAACTCGTCCCACAACACCTACCTCACTGGTGAGAGGCCTGCGGCGCCGGTCTAATGTCGGGTTCGATAGCTGCCGTGCGAGCTCTAATGCGTTTACGGGGCTGCCAATAAATTTGATTCAATGGTCTTCGGTAACTTCTTTGTAATGGCTCTTGACGTGGATGCGTTTTATATTTCGGCGGTGTCGTGTTTTCGGTATCGTATGCGAGTCACACTCACTCCCGTTCTTAGAACGATATTAGCCGATGCATTAGCCCGGCTTCCCAAAAGCCATTCGCTCGCCGACGTGCTAACGCAGCATACCCTGGAGCCGAGCCATCTTCTCCAGCTGTTCCCGGAGGATGGGCGCGGGATGGAACACTTCGCTAACACCTCGCGTGCCCGGGGGCCGGTCTTTCCATTAGGCCGACGCGGCTGTAGCGTTGCGTCGATCGGGACAGTGCTGTGACCGACTGGGCCGTAGGGAACGCTCCGTCAGCGACGGCCGAACGGTGGTACCGGCGGGCCGAACATACCCTGCGTGCTGCTGCTGCTCCTTCTCTCTTCTCTCTCTCCCTCCTCTCTCTCTCTCTCTCTCTCCCTCTCCCTCTCCCTCTCCCTCTCCCTCTCCCTCTCCCTCTCCCTCTCCCTCTCACTCTCCCTCTCCCTCTCTCTCTCTCTCCCTCTCTCTTTTCTCTCTCTCTCTTTCTCTCTCTTTCTCTCTCTCTCTCTCTCTCCCTCTCTCTCTCTTTTCTCGCTCTCTCTCTCACTCCTCCACCTCTCCTCTTTCTCCTTCTCTCATGGAATATTCGGATGGTGACTCTTAGATACAAATTGATCGTTAGTCAAATACAAACCGTAGTGCTAGCCCCCTTAGACTGAGGGGACAGTTCGGGGCCCTTAGCCAGCTGTAGTGCTGGGCCCTCAGTGGACGGCGTGGGAGCATTAGCGGATGGCCTTAGCGGACGGTCCGATGAGGCCCTCAGCAGACAGTCCGCGACCCTCAGCAGACAGTCCGCGCCCTTAGCGCAGCGGTCTAATCCCGTGTGACCGGTGAGAGCAGCAACAGGCGGCGGCCGGCCGGTGGCAGCCTCCCCAGCGCAGTTAGTCGAGAGGTGTATCGACCAGTCTCGGCCGCTGGGCCGCCGCCGGACGCCGGCCGTGGCTGTTAGCGCGGCGGGACGCTTAGGAGGCTGGGTTTATTAATGGGAAACACGAGAGCTGAAATGAATACCCGTCGTTAACAGGTGTGCTGAATGTGCGTTGACAAGCGCGTTGACTGCCTGAACCGTAAATGACGATTGCTACCCAAGTTAACAATAGGAGGCTTATGACACCTATTAATGTATACCTAACTGACCTGAGCCGCTTGTGTCACCAGATCTGACGGAAGCGCCCTGACCTCCGCCAGGTCACCAGCTGACCGGCAAGTCGTCGGTGGAGATATACCGTCAGTGCCTGCTGATGGGATGCCGCTGTGTGGAGCTCGACTTCTGGAACGGGAAGACCAAGTCGGAGGAGCCCAACGTGTGCCACGGCTACACGCTCGTACCCGAGATACCCGCCAGGGTGAGCAGCGCGCGCGGGACAGGGGCACCGGTGGTTAGTGAGTGAGTGGTAGGTAGTCGGGATGGCAACACTCACATAATGTCCCATGTCAGACTTCATCCTCACTCCTAGTCAGCTCACAGCTTCCACGAACTGATCACAAGACTGCCTGCAGCAGCTGACCCTTTTCAATCCTTTTGTTAGTGTCTCGTAGTTCTCAGTCCCAGCGGATAAAAACAACACCTAAGAATGTCTCGTAGTTGCATCTCGCTTCAGTATCGGTACTGCGCTGAGAGGTGACTGTCTCCACGGCCGTGTGTTCGCTCCGCTCCGACCTGCGCTCGCTGAAGCCGCCGGGCGGTCCGGGCCGGTGGGCTATGAGCGGTGAGCGCGCCGGGCCAAAGCGGCGCACCGGAGACGTATGGCCGACCGGGCGCCAGCTGCGCCGTTATTAGCCGACCTGCAGGCGGGGCCGGCCGGGGCCGCTGGTAGAGCCCGGAGCGGCGGGGTAGCTGCCGGGCTGACGGAGCCAGCCTGGTCCGGGACCACAGCTAGGCCAATGCTGGACTGGACTGCCCAGCTCCAAAACTCCAGGATATCTGTCCACAACAACGTAGAATTTCTCAACATTCTGCCTTTTTCTATTGCCATCAGTTTCATCCTATTTGGCGGCCTTTGTCCTCTCTGACTTTGTTTTCCCGGCCCAGTCGTTAGTCGATCCTCGCAGCGTTCCGATCTCCGTTCTCATTTCACTCTCGACTGCCGGCTGTCTTCGGCTCCCGTCTTCTTTTCCAATATCTCCTGCGAGGAATGTTGGTCATCCATCCTTTCTTCCCTGCCGTCCTTGTGTGATCACTCGCGGAAATACCAATTTGGAGGGTGGCCGAAAGAAAAGACGTTGGACAGCGCATTGCTGCACTGTGCGTAGGCGTGCTTGATTTTGCCCGCGTGATAATGTAACTCGTAATAAGCACCTGTTATAAGCACTGAACGTCGTTGCACCGTGGTGTTCCAAACTCTTCTGCGCGGCTGTCGCGACCTCTCCTCCACACGTACTGTTAGCTTTTTCACTTCCCAGTGTCGTTCTCTCCTCTGACCCACACCCCCTTCCGCCGACAGGACGTGATAGAGGCGATCGCCGAGTCTGCCTTCAAAACCTCCGAGTGGCCGGTGATTCTGTCGTTCGAGAACCACTGCAACCCCAAACAGCAGGCCAAGATCGCCCAGTACTGCCGGGAGCTGTTCGGGGACATGCTGCTCGATGAGCCGCTGGAAGACTACCCGGTTAGTGGCGGGTGGTGAGGAGGGTGCTTCCAGTTATCTCTGGTAGATAAGACGGTGTGCTAGCGAAGATAGTTTTTTTAGACGAGAGCCCTAAAATGTGGATTATTTTATGTAGTATCGTACTTGGAATTTCTCTCCTTTACGCGACCATATACTTGACTTCCATTTCTTCCCGTCTTTTCAAATAATCTCATCACTTTCAACGGCACTTAACGTGCATTAAGAGGTCCTTCTCTTCCTAATCTATTGCAGCGCTTAGCGAGAAGTGTTGCCCAAAAACCTCAATGTTCGTTGTACGAACCGAAAGGCATGAATAACCATTGTCGTTCCAGTAGAACAGCCGCTTTTTAGTAATGCGTCATTTATTTTCCAAGCTCCAAGTTATAGCCCGCATGGCCCCATCGTTCAGCGACGGCCGGCTGGCGGCGAAGTCGCCGGTCGGGCCGGGTCGGAGCGGCCGGCCCCGATGTCGCCCCGATAGCGCCCTCTTCCATTCCGTTATCATTGATTTGCTGGATCGGCGGACGGGCGGTGGACGGGCGGTGGGGCGGACGGGCGGCGGGCGGTGGGGCGCGCGGATCCGCCCCGCGCCGCTGGCCGGACGCCGATTTACGGGCTCGTTAAGGCAGCTCGGTATCGACGCGGCCGGCGAGCTGCCCGGCCGTCATCACCGCTCGAGCGGGCGGCCACTCGGCCGCACTAACGTCCTTTATGACGGCGGGCCGGCCGGTGCAGTCGATGGCGCTCACTCTGCGCCGGAGCGTGCGTTCCGAGAAGGGCGGTTGCCGAGGCCTACAGGCCGGGCCGACTGCCGCGTCATTTCACTTCACCAATCAGCGTCACCGTCAGCCCTCGTTAGGGTCATTGGGGCGAGCTGAGTGGAAAGGAGCGGCGCCGGATCATACGTCATTTGATAGTGTCATGTAACCTGATATATTAGCCGCTTTCATTATATGAGGTTTGTAGAATTTCTGTGAAGCAGGATTCCAATGTCGCGTGTGATCTGTAACTGGATTTTCCTCCTCAGTTGGTGCCTGGGACGCCGCTGCCGCCGCCGTCAGCGCTACGGAGAAAAATCCTCATCAAGAACAAGAAGAAGCACAAGCCGAAGGTGACGAGCAAGTCTGACACGACGTTTCACGTGCCTGTGGAACAGGTGGAGCCGGCGGAAGCCACGTCCACTCCTACGCAGGTAGGCAGTACTTCCCTGGTGAGACACCGGTGGTGGACAGAGGCTGCCGGGATACACCATAGTAGCCCCCACACAGAGCTGTCTGTCCTCAAAGCTGCTTAATGTTTCAATTGGTTGAAGGCTGTACACTGGCCGCTGAAGGAAGGCTTAATCAATACTGACCACCGACAATAGTGTATCACATAACTACCAGCAATCCATTAACTTACATAATAGTATGTGCACTCAGTCTAGCCACAGGGCCGGCCCTCTGGTCGGTGCCGAAATCGGCCCTGTGGTGCCGTGCAGTGCCATTTGTCACCGTCTCATACACCATTTACACCGGCGGTCGGCCGGCAGCCGCCGCCGTCCACCCGTCGTCAATCACCGCTAACTGGGATGGTCGAGTGGCGTGCGGCCGCCGCCACGAATCGCCGCGGCTTAGGATATAATCACACCGCGGCAGCGTCGCGCCTTTGTGTTTGATGCAGTGAGCTGTATAGTTAGTGGGAGGTTGAGTGCGGTATCCTATTTCATTCGGTTCAGACATGTTTGTAGTGCCATCTTAAAGAGATGTGTTCTCATTAACTTTGTAAAACTCTGTATATAAGCGATTCTATGCCTGACGTTATTGTCCAGTGCCTACCTTTTAGAGGAAGGATTTTGTTCCAGTTATTTCTCCAATTTTAGTGGTAGTTAAGCTTGATGACTTCGTTCGAGTTTGTTCAGCCGGGCATTACGCGTGTTTTAATGCTCTTTCGGGAATCCTTACTTACCGAAAAGCCAGAGAAGTTTATGGTAAAGTTAGCATAAAGGCTGGTACTTTCTCCTTTCAATCCGATCATAAAACAAACAAGTTCATAAACATATGGGCACGCCAATATTCTATATTTAGACAAACGGGAGAGTCTTAGCATGTGAAATCGCCTACCTGTATGCTATTGCATTTCTGCGATGTTTTTATTGGAGTTGTGCTCTAAGCATTATGTAACACGCCTTTGTAACTCCACCAGCACGTGTTTTCCCGCCGTCACACGCCCCATTCTGTTTTCTGACTCCTTTGCCTACCATCTGACACCCCCCCCCCTTCAGCAGGCGCTGGGTAACGGTGATGTCTCGCGGGGACCGTCCTCGGCTCCCGGCACGGAGAAGGACGCCTCTCGTGAGGACGAGGACGCGGATGAGGACAGCAGCTCCGACTCGGACGAGGACTGTCTGAGCGCCGAGGAGCGCAAACTGCGCGAGCGACGGCAGAAGGAGACGGGTACCGCCGGGAAGGAGTCGGAGGCCGGGGCTGAGATCTCCGCACTGGTCAACTACGTCCAGCCCGGGCACTTCAAGAGCTTCGCAGAGGCCGAGCGTGAGTGATAAGGGCGAGGGCGCGAGAGGGGCCAGTGTGATATGGTGGCTACGGTCAGGTTGAGTTTAATGATTCAGTCTGAAATTAGGTTTTCTCACCATTCTGATCGTACAGAATCAGCTGAAATGAAAAAGTGGAAATCTGTAAAGCTCTTCAAGGTCCATTGGAAGCCGCGCTATGCCGTATGCGCCATGCCGGAAAACGCTTCTTTGAGCTCCGTTCCTACACGGTCCACGGACCGCTCACCCAGCGCTCTTTCCCCACAGGTCGTGACCGCAGTTACGAGATGTCCTCACTGGTGGAGACCCAGGCCATGGCCAATCTGAAGGCATTCCCGGTCGACTTTGTCAACTACAACAAGCGGCAGCTGAGCCGGGTCTACCCGCGCGGCACCCGGGTCGACAGCTCCAACTTCATGCCGCACATGTTCTGGAACGCCGGCTGCCAACTGGTGGCGCTCAACTTCCAGACGCTCGGTAAGTGAACACCCGACTGCAGACCTTGATATAGACTTCATACAGGATCAATTTATTTTTGTTTGTTCTCTGGCCTCTAGACATCTTTGACGTATTGTGTTTAGTGTTCAAACCGACTTTTCTGAGAAATACATATTAATCGTCGGAGACCGTCAGGCTAATTTATTTCCTTTTGGGCATAAAAGAAGCTAAAATCAAATTATTAAGACTTGGCGGATATTAATCGTCGTCCGATGCTATATTGGCTCTTATAGCGTCTATAAAACTCGCGTCTCTGTAATGGTTTATTCCTGAGCATCCTGTCAACCGCTCCCGTATTTCACAACGTGAACAACCAGCTCGGTCACTGCAGGCAATCCATTAGTTTTCCCAGAAAGCTGTCCTTTTCCGATGGTGTCGTACATCTCGGTCGACCCCGTGCCCGGGTACATCGCCACATCTCCAGCCCTGTCCGCCTCCGGGTGGCGTATTTCTTCCCCGAGGATATATTCCCGTCGCTGAAGACGGTCGCCGGCGGGTCCCGTCGTTCGCGATGACCGATTGCCCCAGAATGCAGTCATTTTGGAGTGGCGCCGTCGTCGGACGGGTCCAATTTAGCTCCCCGTTAGCGGAGTTCGGGTCTGACGGCCGACGGCGGCGGACAGGCGCGGCTGGGCAGGGCAGTCTGGACGGAAATATGATTGGACACGGGACTGGATATTAGACTGGACATGACACTGGACTGGGGACTGGACTGGCCATCTAAGTCGGCAGTGAACAGTGAATACTGACTCGGTCTCGATACTGGGTATGGACGCTGGAGAGGATATTTTTTTTTTTGGGGGGGGGGGGGCTGGACTGCCCTGGATGTTTCCGCCGTCTGTTCGCCGCCACTATATGTGGTCTCGCACTGTCTGTTGTGGTTTTCCGTCGATGGTGAACACAGCTCGGTTCATTTCAGTTTAATGCCACCTCTGGCAGGGTGGAATGGATCGATCATTTTGATGGCGGAAGGCTGAGACCTAATTTAAATTAACTACAGCCTCGTACTAATTCATCATGGTGTTACATTTGCTCTCCAGTGGCGAATTGATTACGGCGTAGTCGAACGGCGCAGATGCTCCCCTTAGGTTATTTCCCAGTTCATATTCAGCCGCTCATACAATATGCAAGTGCCGTGACTCCGTCATGGCGTCGTCAGCTGCGCTGTTTAACGTTCGTGTTTGTGTGGCCGGCTCCACATGTCTGCTGGGCTGTTCCCTGCTCTTGGTGTTTGTGAACGGCCAACTCAATGTGCCGGTGTTGTATGGTGTTGATGAGCGACTGAGTCAATGGCCCCTATTTACTGGTGCGTTGTGGAGCTGTCTGTTCCGAATCAATAACTCATTTCTGTCTTCTTTATATCTTTTCTCCACCGTGAAAGATATTTGCTCGGATGCTCTGGGCCTTTTCTGTCTGGAAAATACGTAGGAGAGCATGCGCCCCTATCGTGAGAGTTGGAATATTGTTATCGTTATACAGGCTGTTTTTGAAAGTGCTGGCTGATCATTGCTCTGAGGCGTTGTTTGTTTGTTTTTGTTTGTTTGTTTTGTTGGGTTAGGCCCTTTCGGTCGACAAGACCATTGCAGAGCCGGAAGGATGATAGGAATTAGGGGGAGACATTGGTCTGGGCAGGCACCCTAGTGAGTCGCCGGGGCTGAGCCCGTCCAGAGGACAGGCCACCCAGCCCCAAGGCACTCACTGCACCCGGCTACGGGGTGCGCTCCCTCAGGAGCAGCGGTGCCGCTCCAAGGGAGCAGCCCGCATGAGATAAAGTTGCCTGTCTAGCCCGGAGGGGGTTGCGGCTTGGAGGAGAAGGATTTCAGTATCCTGAGGATAGAAGCACGGATAGGTGGCTCTGAGGCGTTTGTATAGTCTGTCCTTTACAGCAGCTGGTACCCTGATGTAGCTGGTACCGACTCGGTTCGCACTTCGCAGTCAATGGTTTCGTCCAAGGCCGTCAATAGGCCGGTCCCGTGTTTCTTCCTCGGCTGTCATGACATTGCTAACATGCTGTTGAAGTGATGGGACGTCCTCGTTCATTCCACCCTTTTCAACCTGTTTTAATGTGGATTAGCCCCGTTTCCTTAATCATTCATAATGGGAGGCTCGTTACTTATGCACTATGCTGTTCTATTATGACTAATTCCATGGGCATTATGGGCGTCTTCCTGAACTTTATTGCGGTTTATGACGTTCGTAAATGAAGTTACGAGTACAATGCGGTGCAATGTTCAATCTCTGCAGTTTTGTCAGGGTTTTTCGTCTGGCGGTTCACATTCAATGATACTAAATGTGTGAACTATTGCCATTACAGGATGATCGATGCTCATCCGAGGAGCTTCTTTCATAAGGCATTCTTGTTCCACAGACCTGCCGACGCAGCTGAACACGGGCATCTTTGAGTACAACAACCGTTCGGGGTACCTGCTGAAGCCGGAGTTCATGCGCCGCTCGGACCGGCTGCTCGACCCGTTCGCCGAGTCGACCGTGGACGGCATCATCGCCGGCACCGTCTCCGTCAAGGTTAGAGACCGCACGCATGCTTTTATTGAATGGATTCCAACTTTCAATAAATCAATGCACATGTGCATAACTTCCCGAGCTACGTGCTTTTGCATGTAACTTTAGCCTCAATGGCGCTTAGTCTGATCACTTCACGCTCAGACATCCGTCGCTTTAATCGTTCGATACCGAGTCACTGATCAATAATCATCTCTAAATTTACCTCGGACTTCGCCCCAACTCTGCTCAGTATCGAATGGCGGTGACGGTCGCGGAGTTGGCCGATGACTTTCAGAAGGGCTGCTGGAGACGGCTGCCGATTTACATGTAGAGGCCGGGGTCACTGGGAGCGGGCCCATTCAGTCCGCTGTTTTCCCCAGAGCACCCGAGACTCTCCACTGCCACCGCCGTCTGGCATTTAATGAGATCCTTACGGTCTGACTAAAACACAATGTGTGAACTTAACCATGCAATGATACGGGCCGCAGACTTTGCTCTTTCAAGATGAAAACGAATCAAAGGAGAGTTGGCTAGAAGCTCAACTCCTACCATTTTATTAATTCTTTTGTGCTTCTTTTTTTTTCTTCGCGACATCATTTAACATTAAATGTAACACTTAGCTGCCCTCACGGCTGTGCCTCTTGTAATTAGATGCTTTGAAAAGTTTATCACTGCAAGCAGTTTCTAGGCGTGTTAGTGCTGACCAGTCCACGAAAACCCACACACCAATCGTGTCTGTATTTATCCGTCAATCTCTGTACCTCACCCCGCTTCCACAGGTGATCTCTGGCCAGTTCCTCTCTGAGAAGCGCGTTAATGTGTGGGTGGAGGTGGACATGTACGGTCTGCCGGCCGACACAGTGCGGCGGCGCTTCAAGACGCGCGTCATCCAGAACAACGCCATCAACCCCGTCTGGGATGACGAGACGTTCGTCTTCAAAAAGGTAAGGGCTGTGGGAGGGAGAGGGAGAGGGAGAGGGAGCCCCCAGGGAGGTAAGCAGGGAGCCGGGAGGGGATACAATCTTAGCGGCCTTCGGACACTTGTTCAGTAGTAGTCCGGTATAGCTGTTTGGTGTTGTACTGTACTGGAGTTCACCATACATGTAGGTTGTAGATATCCGCGGTATTATTGTTGGCTATGATAGGTGGCTGCGTTTGATCTTTTTGTCGACAGATGTACTGCGACTGTCATGCGAGACGTTTGTACGTTTCTGCGCTCAGTCATGGTCAGGTAATGGCTGTTTGCCCTTCCCTGTCGTACCCTGAAATAACCAGACCCGAGCTGCTGCCCTGCACCTCTTTGTCCATGAGTTTCCTACCCTGCCCTGACCCTCGCCGTTTTCCCGCAGGTTGTGCTGCCGGACCTGGCCTTTATCCGACTGGCGGCGTTCGAGGAGTCGGGCCGGCTGCTCGGACACCGCGTGTTGCCGGTGGTGGGTCTGCGGCCCGGCTACCGGCACATCAGTCTGAGGAACGAGTCCGGACAGCCGCAGGGACTCAGCACACTGTTCGTCAAGGTATGGCACCCTTGTGTCAATATCAGGACACTATTATGACGCCTCTGTGCCAAAGACCTATCGCGTTGTTTGAGGTACAATGCTATAAAAAAATGCACAAAAATATACGCTGCGGCTTTGAAGGGGTCACATAGCGTTGACCACACACTTTTTTAGCGTCACCTTGCACAGCAACAGATAATAGTGAATTACATTGCTTTCGTCGTATAATTCATGACTTGGGATTGGTATTTCGCTCCTGCTTTGCCCTTCTATAGCCAATGCCATCCCCTTAAATCACGTTGATCGTCTCCCACCAGGTGAAGGTGGGCGACTACGTCAAGGACTGTTTCTCGGACATTGCCGAGGCGCTGGCCAACCCGATCAAGTACCAGAGCGAGCTGGAGAAGCGAGCGCAGCAGCTCAGCGTGCTGGCAGACGAGGCAGACGACGTCGAGGTAGGAGCTGCTGGCCTGGCGGGGACGAGACTGGACGGGAGGGAAGAATATGGGAGGGAGACAGTTGAAAGGTCATATTCTGGCTGTTGTTGAAATGGGATATTCAAACAGGACTTGCCGGTCCATGAGCTCTTTTGCTTGTTTGATGTAAGAGCTAGCAGGCTCTTACATCGAACATCTTACATACATCTTACATAGCAGGATGTACTGCTAATATTCTGGTGTGACCCGTGTCCCAGTGACTTGATCTTCCCAGTATACCCGGAGTTACGTGACCTGACCTGACCCCTCCTCGTACCGCTCAGGTGGAGTCTGGCGACGCCGCGCTGCGTCCCCCCGCCTCCAGTCTGCTGGATGGCTCCCAGTCGCTGGGCGGAGACGCTGCTCCCTCGGCGGTGGCCGGGTCAGCCAGTCAGACAGCGCAGGCCACCGCCGCCGCCCCGGACACAAACGGAACTGGAGTGATGCCGGCGGGGGCGGCGGACACTGTGACCACCAACGGTGAGCTGGGAAGGAGCCGGGAGGGTCAGTGTGCCGAGGTGGGGAGTGTTGGGGTTCGGTTGAGTGGTGTTGGAGTGTGAGGGATGGTGAAAGGTTACACTGGTGGAGGGTCGACTGGTGGCGGTGGTGATGGTATGGGTGGTTTGTGGTTACAGATGCTCCTAGACTAGATGACTAAATGATGCATGCTTTATGTTTTTGGAATGGATGATTGCGCCAAGGCCCTATAACGTTGAAATGACATCGATTTGTATATATTTGAAACCCCTGGCTGTTTATGAGAGATGTTGCTGAGTAGAGCATGCTGGACATTAGCATTTGTACATAGTACGTGTTATTCCTAGTTAGTTCAACCCCCACTCCATCGACCATCGTTCACCGGATCGTGTCGGTACGTCTCCGCTGGGATCCGGCTGACCGCCAGACGGGCCGGCCGTTACTGCTCTGTCCGACAGGGAGTCCGCTGGGCACGCCCGGTCGGCTGGGCGTGTTCCCCGTGGTGTTCTGTCACCAGCTGCTGAGCGCGCACGGCTCGCCGCTGCCGCTGCCGCCGCTCTCACCGCCCCTGTCACCGCCGCCCCTGGTGTCGCTGCCGCCGCCGCCGCCGTCCCCGGCCGAGTCAGGTGTTACTACAGGCCGCCCTCCCGGTCTCTGGTTCATAACTGCGGTCGCTCGACAAGCTTATGATTTACCGATCAGTCCGTGGCCGCTCTCCTAGTGTCTGGCTCTCGATTCTGGCTCACAGCTGCTCTGGTCTGCATCTGGCTCACCACCCAACCGGCTGCCTCCTTTGGCTCATAGCCCAGCCTGTGACCGCTCGTCAGACCTGTAGCTCACAGCTCGCAGCTTATGACCGCTCGGCTCAGCTCGAGTGGCCGTGTGTCTGTGTGAATAACAATAACATTTTGTGCCAACGGTAACACCACGCTGTGCCGACCAGTTGTAATGGAGGGGTACGGGGATGAGAGCAGGCGGCTGGGAGCTGAGAACAGCGTAGCTTCACTCAGCCGGGATCAACAGCTGATGCTCCAGAGGGCGAATGCAGTGATGCAGAGCATGCTGAGGCGCTGGGGCGTGGAGCTGGCTGATAGTGGACAAGTAACCGAACTTCAGCCAACGACCGAAAGTTGCGGGTGTTGCAAAAGGCCGCTTCACGGGCGTTAATAACGACTCGCGATATTACGATGAACGTGTGTCGCTTTCAACACAATATGTTGACTTGCATTAATAGTGTGATCTATTTTAAGGCATTTGGGAAGCAAGAACTTCACATGTTTGCACCAATGCACCTTATCCACCGGAAGATACTGACAGTTTTTTTTTTTTTGCCACTGTTGCAGATGTCATATCTCTTTGAGTTGATACCCCACTGCTGACATTAACCCACCGCCCTGTTAATGGCTGCCTTTGATGCATGTTGTGGCCGCGTCTCCTTGCCACCGAACAGAGGTCTGTCTCGGCTCGCATGGCGCCGCCCGATAACAGTTTCTCAGTTCGACTGAAAGGATGCAGTAATGCGTTGCGTTTGCGATTGCAGCGGATGACTTCTTTGTGCATGGGGATCCTACAAGGCTACCGAAATTGATGTTTTATTTCAATGTTGGCGGCGTGTAAGTTTTGATGAAGCTAAAGTGTATCATAACTCGAGAATGACTGCCTTGATAGTTGATTTACGGCCACATTATTCATTTGGTGTTGATGTGTTTCGGAGCAGCTGTAAGTGCGTCCAGAAGAGGTACTGCTCGGACACGTTCCCTGCTTATCTGTCGAATTGCTCCCACAGTTCCTTACGCCCTCTCCTCTTGTCTGTCTCCGGCAGCTGGTACCGGCTCGGTGAAGACGGCCACGGCGAACGCGGGCTCCACCGAGGACATCGCCACGCCCGGTCAGTGGGGGAATGCGGCGACCCACCCAACAGTTCGCAGCGAGCTGTGCAATCTCGGGGTGGTGGGAAATGGCCGATCATGTGCTCGATTGAATATGTTTATGAGCTTGCAGTGTCGACATCGTTTTTTACCACTTAGTCATTTTTTACCAGTTTTTACGGATGTGTTCAGACCAATAGTATTTATTACACATGCTTCACATCGTCTCCTATAACAGACGCTCCACGCGTTCCTGGGGTATTCTCCGTTATCACGCGACCGCCGGTCCACCCTCAGAGCACCTGGTGACGGCCGAGCCGCTGGACCAGCTCTGGGAGGAGAAACAGGTGCGCGAGCGGCGCCTCGAGCTCGAGAAGAAGCTCGACAACCTGCGCCGCAAGTACGACAAGAAGCGCGCGCAGCTGCAGGACGCCGGTGCCGGCAGCACGCCCGTCAGAAGGAACACCTTTTCCAGGTCGCACAACAGGCTAGTCAAAAAGATCTCGATCAAAACGTCCACGTGAGTGCACACTTTACAGTGGTGCATGCGGTGTGGTGTTGGTTTAGAATGGTACTTGTATTGGTGTTATGTGGTGTTTGTTTACCGCATACGAGTGCATGATGAGTACGCTTGTTAGACATTATACAACACAGAACGAACGAACAAGTATGGCTGTCAGACCAGTTTCCCAGTCGGTCGTATGTATCTCATATATGTACATGTCTCATCATATTTGGCTGGACCATTCGCTGTAGCTCACAAGTCACAACCTTCCGAACCTAACCGGCTGACTCCCGGATCTGAACTGACTTTCCGACCATTCCAACCCCATCTGCCGACCCTGTCTGGCCGCTCCTCGACCCTATCTGGTCGCTCTGTGACCCTATCTGACCGCTCATCGACCCCATCTGCCCGCTCTCGTTTTGTCTGTCTGCTCTCGTCTATCTGGCCCCATCTGACCGCTGCCCGACCCCCCGTTTCCAGGGAGCCGGCCGAGTCGGGCGACCAGAACGCCATCGAGGCGTGCTGCTCTCAGTTGGCCGCCAAGGAGCGGGAGCTCCGCGCTCAACATATCGACCTGGTGAGCAGACAACTCGACTGGGGAGATTGCCGAGCTATGCTACATTGTATATGTTATGCTCCGGTATATGTTATGCTACATTGTATATGTAGATTGTGGCTATGTAGAGTGAGTACTAGGACTAGATCTATATGTAGCCAGAAGGCCCCACGGATGGTGTTTTCCACCACACTAACCCCACTCTCCTCCGTCCGTCTCAGATCCACGACACGCTGGAGAAGGTGGTGCGCAGCTCGCAGGCCGCCCAGCTGAAGAAGCTGCAGAGCCACCACGACCGGCGCGTCGCCGAGAGTCGGAAAAACCTGGAGAGCGAGCTGCGGGAGGCCAACCGGGAGCTCGTCAAAAAGGGCTCCTCCAAGGACGAGCTCTCCAGGTGAGCTCCGAGCCACCGGCCGAGAAAATGAGCTATGAACAGGTGTGAGGCAAAGTTTTACGCTAGAAAATATGATGTGGTGTAAGAACCTACTTTCTGTACAAGGAGGGCTTATGAAATTTATTTTGTTTATTGCCTTGCCGTTGTTTCAATTCAGAGGCATATAATTAGCGTGACGGTTATTCCGTCAAACCGATGTCTAATTAGGAGTCCTAATTTAGATCCTTTCACTTAAGTGATGTGAAGTTTTTGCCGCGTCCATAATTAGCATGACCATTAGTTAAGAACTTTTTGATACTAGGCTGCTGAAAAGTCCTGTCATGTTACTTTTTTAAGTTTATTTTTCGACATCTGTTTTCAACTCTTGTGTCATACATCTGAGACCGGCCAAATAACCGTATGGTATCGTATGCAAGCGTGCGTATCGTTATCTAATCCCTTCTCCTCCGTCCTTTCCGGCAGACTGCGGCGTGAGATGTCCAATGTGATTATCGAGGCGGAGGTCCAGCGGCGCAGTCGGCTCAACGACCTGCTCGCCCAGGAGATGCAGGCGCTCAAACAGCAGCACGACCAGGTCAGTACGTGGTGACTCTGTGTGTAACTGAGGCGAGCCCAGGTTATGTAGTCCGTTACGTAGTCAGTTTGTAGGTCACAGTCAGGTAGGAGTGACGCAGTCAGTTTGATGCACCGCTGGGTTGGGTTTGATGATGAGTCAGCCAATTTGCACGAAACAATCTTGCCTTTTCGCCCAATTACTGGCCCTGCCCCGTGCTCCGTATAACCGCCTTTGTCTTTGTCACAGGTTCGGCAGCAGGTGCAGAAGCGGCGCGAGGAGGCGCACCAGCAGCTGGCCGCCGAGCAGGAGACGCGTCTCACCGAGCTGCTGCGCGAGTGGCGGCCGTGCGCGGCGGCCGACGGCGCGCCCTCATGAGGGTCCGCGTCCGGCCGCCGGCGCCGCACCCTCACCGTCGCCGCCCGTCTGCTGGGGGCTCTGCGCCGGCTGCGGCTGCGCTGGTGAGCGGGGAGCGGGCGAACGGGGTGCCATGTGGATATAATTAGCTGGAGGGGGAGAGGGTCTGGATAAATATTCTTAGAGGGTGGAGATGAGGGATAAACATTTCAGTTCCTGTTTTTTTTTGTTTTTTTTTTTTTTTACTGATCTTAGAGCTGTGTTTTCATGAGCGGTTGTTGACAAGTTATCAAATGTCTTTCGGATATTTAGTACATGTTTCCCGTCTTTGAGTTTTAATTCCATTAACTCTTCTTTTCGCAGATTGTTGGAGAAAGTACGGGCAGCACCGCCACTAGGTTCAGAATGGTGGCACGAGAACATATAACTGATGCGTGTCGAACAAGTACAAAGTCTCGGGCGGACGGGCCGCGGGGGTGGGCTCGACGCGTCCTGACAGTCACCTGTCGGTTTGGGGGTGCACTAGCCGGGGCGCCGGCGGCTCCGGGGAACCGGCGCCGGCCCTGTTCATTGTTGACGTGTCGGATCCTCGGTAGCGCAGAGTTGTTTTGGGACAGTATTGCTGATTGCTAGCCTATTTATATATGATTTGCCCGGTGCTGTGCGCGTTGTCCGCTGGGCATGCGTCACATATGTATGCAATGCGGCGCTGGTGTGCCGGCTATCGACGTTACGCTGTAGTCATCTCCGTGCTGTGTGCGTACAGTGCTTTACGGGGCCGCTGTGGGGCGGGGCGGCCGCTGCAATAGGGATGATACCGCCGCCCGCCCGCAGGCCGCTGGGCTTTTCTCTCTGTGTGCGTGTAGAGGCGCCGTGCCAGTGACGGGGGTAGTGGGGGCCAGACAGCGGAGGCCATAGAGCTCCGCGCACCCGATACTTGTTCCTCAACGAGAACAAAGCCACCGTTTTATCAGAGACCATTGCTGGGTCCAGTTGTTCAAGTGGTTTGACGGTTAGATTTGCAGGAATATTTACATGACATGACGGCGTGTGGCCGGTGGTATGGTGGACCATCTTTCAGTGGCGCCCCGCGCTGGCTGGAGCGGCGGACGCTCCCCTGTGCCCCCAGGATCAGTCCCTAGTCAGGACTCGTCGGATTCCACAGTTGTGCTGATCCCGGGCGTCCGTTGTGAGTCCGCTCGGCCGGCCGTCGACCGCGGTTCGGCGGCGAGTCGGCAGATATGGTAGCTTTACCGGGCGGCAGGCATGCTGCCCCGCCCCCACCCCCGCACCCGCCGCGGATAGCCAGTGCCGCCTGTGTGTGGACAGGGGCGGCGGGTCTGTAGGGCAGGCAGGCCGCAGCCGAATTTCTACACGGGGATGGTCAATGTGCTGTGATTTGGAGATGTCTACCTGTGCCCTGTTTTCAATCATTCCCTTCTTGATCAGGTAATTCGCTGTTGTGCGGCTTTTCCTTGTATGTGTCAATAAAGACCAAAGCCATATGCTACTGTTTAACTGGGTGGGCATTCAACAACACAAGCGTGAAATATGAGTGCCGTTTTCATTGCAAGGAATACGGCAGTCGCCATCTAGCTAGGACGATCGCCAACAGCGGTGCTTGGTGCAGCCCATTCGCAATCAGTCACTTTCAATCTTGTTCACTTCATATGATGTTATCCTCAGAACACGACAGCTGGGCTTATCACACGAGTTCGCGATTCGTAAATATCACTGTTGACGCTTGTTCGCAGAACTGTCGCTGACAGAAGCAAACTGCGTTTCAACGCTCAATCAGTCGACACCTCAGGATGGCAATCGATTGGCTGAGCTGCAGCCTCGTCATCCCGACGGGTCCGGCGGCCAGCCTACCCGTAGAGCTGCAGTTTTGTCACTATCAGCACCCGCACGGTCTGGTCGAAGGCGATGCAGGCGCACAGGCCGCGCTTGTCCGGCGACCAGTCGAGCGCCGAGACGGGCTGCGACGAGACGATGCCACCCTGCAGCTGCGTCAGCGTGCCCATCACGCCGAAATCGCCGCCGGCGTCCCGGTCACGACGCTTGGCCGGGTACGTGTACTGCCACAGGTTCAGAGAGCCGCTGCCGCCGCACGTCATGAAGATGTCGCGGTTCTGGGGCAGGTGGCGCACGCACCAGACGGTCGACTTGTGCGCCCGCTCGCGGAGACACGTGAGGCCTCGCTCGGGGTGTTGTGTGCGGCCATCGAACACAAGGACGCCCGACTCGAGCGTGGTGGCCACAATCTTGTTCATCTCGATGTCGCGCCGGTCGAACTGGACGCAGCAGACGCCGTTCTTGACGTTTGTCTCCCAGCGCACCTTCATGGCGCGCAGGTCAAAGAGCTTGATGTCGCCGTTGTCGTAGCCGGCGCAGACGCAGCGCTCCTCGGTGTTGTAGCTGTTGCCGAACGCCACCGTCCAGCAGTCCCTGCGCGGCTCGCCCTCGGCTGGCTCCATCACCGCCACCGGCACCTCCTGTCGCACGTCCCAGACTTTGACGCTGCCGTCCCTGCCGCCAGTGACCAGTTCCGGGGCGCCCTGCTGCCTTCCGGCACCGCCCACACCGTCCAGCGAGTTGATCATCTGTTGATGCGCCCGAACAGAAAACACAGGTTTACTGAGGTGTTCAAGGTCCCAAGTCTGAAGAGAGCCTTCTGCATCGCCAGTAGCGAGATGCCGGTCGGCTAGACTAGAGCCGCCGAATGTGCCACATTTGAGATCGTGTGGCTTCTCGAGATCTGAGATGGTTTCAAGCTTGTCTAATCCCAATTCAAATATCTGAAGCGTACCTTTAGCTCTTGTTGAAGAGCCGAGTGTAACGAACTTTGCAGAGCTGGGGATCCAAAGAACGTCGAAAAGCGTGTGATTCAACGATTTCTCCAGATGGGTAATGATTTGAGGCTTATCCATCGTGGTGCCGTGACGATTCTTGCAAGGTGCAAAAGCACAGCAAACGGCGCGAAATCTATCCTGAACACCAAGCCACAAAATATATTGTCTTGCTGCCGAAAAGGCTGCCGACACAGTGCAACAAATGATTAGAACCTGCTGGCAGCGGCCAAGGCCCTAAATACAGCGGCAATCTCACCAGACTTCACCTCTCGGGCAAAGTCATGCATTACATCGATACGGTTGCCATAGCAACGTCGCTCGCCTTATTTCTTTTGGCTGTTGTTAATTGATCAAAATAGCTTTCACTCAGTATATGATGTGAACAAATTACAGGTATTGCACCTCTCAGTTAACTTTTTATCTTAGACCCTTTGTTTTGCTTCAATTTTAGGTTCGAATTGCTTATTAGACATCACTTTCTAAACATATAATATTTTGTGGTGGTATTCTAATAGATTTATCGTCAGTAATGACGCGAGAGTGACAAATCGAGAATTGCGTATGCGGTATGCACTGTATTGGCGGCGAGGAGGGAGGATTGCATCGACTGCATATCGATTATTTTGTTTTTTGCATATGTGTGGAGCTCCTAGGAAGGTAATTATTTGAATATATCTTCAAAAATAATTCATAACAAGTTCGATAGGATTTTTGGCTGAGTGGACAAAAGGAGTGAATGTTTATGTCTGTTACTTCATAGGTAATGTCTAAAATTCAAGCCTGCTCATGTTAGTCATGCTTGTGCTGGCGATGGGGATCGGGATGTTGATGTGGTGTTTAAAAATTCGTTGTAAAATGCCATTCAGGTGTTTTTCCATTTTCCAATATTATGGTGTGTTTTTCCTTTTGTGTTTTTTCTGTATTTGGACAGTTCTCCGGGCACTAAAGGCGGGCGTAAACGTTCCACGCGAGAACACTGAATGTCATTTTGGTATTCATGTTTGTTTTATTTTTTAACAGGTAGTTGAATATGGATCATCATCACCATCAAGGAGTGAAGGGCTATGAGATCAAAGACCTTCTTAATACTGTAAGTACCTAGCCATGTTTGAACTATTGTATGTCTGCATAATATTTTAAACCATGACAAACAAGATATAAAGCTATTGGCGTCATATGGCCATGCTTAGATAAATTTTTCACTGGAAATAAAATATGATAATGCCCTTAATTATGACTTGCATGTATTGTTGTAATAGTAGTTTTTAATGTGTGTAAGGGACAATACCTATAAAATGTAATTCTGTTAATACATTTTATGTTTGTTACAGGAAATAACCTAGGTCCTTTATTTCAGAGTTTAGACCTAAGCAAATTCACTGAAGAGGAGAAATGGAGGTAAGCATTTAACAGCTGCGATTTTGACTTTATATTTATCTGGTGACAACCACTCTTCAACTGTATTAAAAATGTTTCTAGATACGCTTCAATAATAATTGGGGGAATGATTCTTTAGGTATATATCAGCATGCCTTCTTCAAGCTTATGCCAATACAGAAGTCTGAATATTTCTCAATCTCATTCAATAAAATCTGAAACAATGTTTAAAAGGGAAGTCATCACATACATTCATAACATTGTGATGCTGTCCTCAGGATCGAGCACATCCGTATGCACGAGAAGCACAAGGGCCACGAGGCGATGCACGCCGAGATGGTGCTGGTGCTGATCACTGCCCTGCTGCTGGGCCAGGTGGTGCTGGTGTTTTGGCGCAAACACCACCCACGCTCCTACCAGGTCGGTGACGGAAGGGAGGGGTGGGTTAGGACGAGGGCGTCAGAATACTGTAGGGTAGATACGTGTGTGAACATCGGTCATTGATCAATTTTTCCAGCTGTTGAGTTACCATTGTTGTGTGCAAGCATGTAAACATGTCCAGTAAGATTCATTTGATTTTGAAATGTGCCTTTTTACGATGAAATGAACCCATTTTATTCTCTTCAGAAGTGGAAGCGGCTGTTCTAGTCTAACATGCGTGGTGTTTTCATCATCACACTGATCTTTGCCGGTGTTTCAGATCGTGACGCTGATCGGTATGTGGGTGATACCGTTCGTAAATACTCTGATACCGTTTTTTCAGATCGTGACGCTGATCGGTATGTGGGTGATACCGTTCGTGCTCTGCATCCGTAACCGCTGGTGGAGGTTCATCTTCTTCTGGCTGCTCTACACCTGTATAACGCTCATGATCGGCTTCAAGGCCATGAAGAAACCGCTAGATGGAACCACTCCTCGGTACGGTCTGCTCGGCTTATTCTTGTCAGATTGTGCTTCTTTTGATAATTTTATTGTGTGTGTGTCAACGCGTTGAATGTGATGATATAGATTACAGTGAACGCTCGCGTTAACTCCTTTTTAATTGTTTTCTGCGGCATGCTATATTTTCTCTTCTGCGATTTGCTGTCTTTCCCTTGGGCTTTACGTCCGCGGCCGACTTGTTCCACACCGTATCTTCAATTTTCGCTTTCCGTCGGCAGGCTGGTGTACAAGTGGTTCCTGCTGCTGTACAAGGTCAGCTACGGCCTGGGCATCGTCGGCTACACCATCATGATGGCCACGTTCCTCGGCTTCAACCTCATGTTCCATGTGAAGCCGCACGTCTGGATGGACGTGGGCATCATGTTTCTGTTCTACGGCCTCTACTATGGCGTGCTGGGCCGCGACTGCGCGGAAATCTGCGCAGACAAGATGGCCGCTCACATTGGGGTGAGTCGCCGACGGAGTGGGCCGGACAGCGGTCGGCTGAGGCCGGCCGGTGCTCAGCCCAGCCGAGTGTTTAGCGGTTGTGGGAAACGTTTAGACAAGGCTACCATGTGTTGTGCATTCTGAACAAAATAGGCCAGCATGCTTGGTCGTATATCGAAATCTGAGATGTTGTTTCGATCACAGCCGCTGCTCGCCCGAAAAAGCTAGCATGTCAAGGATGATAGTTGAAGTTTTTCATTAAAGGTAGTGTGCCACCTTTGAAAGATTTCCCGTTTTATTTTTCCTAGGATAAGAAGCTTCTGTTTTTACCTAATATCGCAAAAAAAAAATCAAAAATGGGCCTGGAATAGTGCTTTTTTCGCCTAAAAGTTTATCGGTTTTTAGATATGTATAACAACTGTAGTGGGCTCACCTGCAAACAGGCGTCGGGCAACAATCGCGAATGCGGCGCACTTGTGACAATAAGCAAAGGTCATTATAGTGTTACGACCATACGACGTACGGGAATGAGTTATCAGCTGTCTAATCGTAGACAACACAATGTCGAGCCTTAAACTGTAAGCCTGTATTGGTATTGTTTCTTAAATTTGGCTGTCGAACATTAATTTGTGGTTTGAAATATGATTTTATGTAAAATAATTGATATGAAACAGCCGTCTCTTAAGTTATGACCCCATTACACCACACGCAAGTGGCAGAAATGACAATGATCAGCTGACGCATTTTTCTTGGCCGAAGTCAGAGCGCGCGGCCCGACGCACCACGCGTATTTGGAAATTCCGACCTCGACGAGCATCAGAAGCCACCTAACAGGCGTGTTCGAAACCGCAGGAGATGATGATGAACGGGTTTATCGAAACTTGATTGGATGAGCCTATCGGTAATAGCGATTTTAGTGTGTGCATTTATTGTTCATAGTGGTGTGAAATGTGGTTGGGGTACGACCGACAACCCGTCGGGGCGAATTTCGCACTGGGGTACTCAAAATTTGAAGAATTTAAGACGTTTCCATAAGTTTTGAAGGTATGGATAAGTTCTAAAAATCCGGTTCTCCTTATCCGGGTCATTAACTCCATATGGTCCAAGAAAGCTGGCACACTACCTTTAACCCGCGCCCCGTAGGGGGGGGGGGGCCGAAACGGCCCCTCCCTGTCCTTTTCGGTCGATATCTCCTAAACGGCTGGAGATATCGCCACCAAACTTTCAGGACCTCTCCGGGCATCAATTTTACACATTGTGACCAAAAATTTTTCCAGAGGCTATGATAGGTTGGCCACAAATGACGTCAGAGTGACGTCATGTTCTGTCATTTTCGACCGAAAAAAGACCTTCGCGAGAAGACCTGTCAGGACTACAGCTTTGAAGATACAGAAAAATGATCAAGACACAAAAGGTGTAGAATTGACAGGGCTACAAAACTGCTATCTCGAATTTTTGAAATTTTTGAGTTTTGACCCCCAAAAATCAAAAAAGCATTTTTTTGGATATATTCGCCAAAAAATCCAAAAAGTTTTTTGAGTTTCGAAAAAACCGGAATATATGTGATAGTGCCTACCGTCTTCTATCCACATACCAAATTTCAGATCGATACCTCGTTTTTTGGCCAAGTTATAGCGAAAAAACTGTTCAAAAATGATGACGTCAAATTTTCAAACTCAATTTTTGGCAATTCTAGAACTCGTAGAGCAAAACGAAGACCACCATTAGACTCCCCGTGACGAGCTGCATCGAATCGATACCCATTTTATGCAAAAATATCAACTTTGAAATTTGACCTAATTTGACCTGACCTTGACCTGACCTTCACCAAAACGTGACCTAGGCTGGCCCCAAAGGCTGCCTAACCCACATAATCGCATTTGTCATGTAAAATGGACCATAAAACATGTATCACACGACACATTCATATTGTGACCCCCGGTGACCTGACCTCGCTGTGACCTGACCTGGTATCAGTGACCTCAGATAGCAAAGTATGTGTTTGACGAACAATGTACCATCGATGGTTTTCAATAAATTACCAATTTACTCGCTTTCACAGCACATTTCTTGAATTGCCTGTGAACGGTGAAAATCTGACCTTTGACCTGACCTGTGACGTCATCGGTTTGACCTAGGTCAATGAAATTTGGTCACAAGGTAGTTCCCGGGTGGGGCTATCGAACGCCGTTTGAATTTTGAAAATCGGCCGGTAACTTTCCGAGATCTTAGGGGGGGGCCGAAACGGCCCCCCCCCCCCCCTACGGGTGGTAGGGTCCGCCGAAGGCCCTACGGGGCGCGGGTTAAACTTTAAACGTCCTGCATATGTGGTCAACAGCTGCTTTAAATGTCGTGGCTGTTAAATGTTAATTTAGCTAAGCACTGCACCTTTGCAGCGATTGGACCCAAGTTGAACTGAATGCACCCAAACGTACACACCACTATCAGTGCAATGTGCAAAGTACAGCGTGCAGATGACGCCGCTCTCGATAGCGAGTCTGAACAGACCACGGCACACTGGCCGTAGGAACTTTGATCGAACACTTTCGAACACTGCACTACATGCCCAAAATGGACATTGGAGTGCATCATATTTATGCGTCGACCATATTATGACACATAAGTGTACGAGACGTTTCACATATTAGAGCTGACAGTTGATTAATAACTGACGGCTGCGTTTGCGTTTGTTTTCAGTACTACAAGCCGGACGGTATGCCGACACGCAGCCTGGACCCGGACGTGTGTGCCGTCTGCGGTAACAAGCTGCTGGTACTCAACAACGACCAGGCGGTGCTCGAGAAGACCTACCGCCTCACCTGTCAGCACGTGTGAGTGACATGTACAGGAATTATAGAACCAGAGGAAGAGTAAACTGAGCTGTGTTCGTTCTGAACTTAATTGGTGAAGGAAGTCGGATCGGTTAAATTTTCATGATATAGATTCAGATTGGGATATCGGCATTGGGCGTTCTTCATTTGTCTAAGTCCGTGTCACAATATAAAATCTACTAAATACACCGCTCGCCGACTACGATCGCTAACAGCTTTGTCTTCCGCCTTCAGCTTCCACGAGTTCTGCATCCGGGGCTGGTGTATCGTGGGCAAGAAGCAGATCTGCCCCTACTGCAAGGAGAAGGTGGACCTGAAGCGGATGCTGGCCAACCCGTGGGAGAAGCCGCACGTTCTGTACGGCCAGCTGCTCGACTGGATCCGCTGGCTGGTGGCCTGGCAGCCCATCATCATCATGGGCGTGCAGGGCGTCAACTACCTGCTCGGGCTCGAGTGAGCCGGGCGGTGGGGGTAGGTGATTATACGGGGCGGCTGCAGGGTGCAGGCCCCGCTGGACTCAAATTGGAGCCGGGTGCACGCTCTGCCTGTGGTCTACTTAGTCGTCGAGAGGCTGGAGCTTGGGTCGGGCATTGGTCGCCAGGCGATGGACTGTGACTGGGGCTGACCCGTTCTACGAGGCAGCCGGCTAGTGCGGCCAGTCCGTTGTGGCAGCGCCACGGTCCGAACTCTACTCTGCGCACAGTGACCTGCCGACCATCCAAAGACCTGCTGACCTGTCCTTGACCTGGACCGGGTCAGGTCGAGACGTGCCGGTCTTTGCTGCTTCAGGAGGTAGGTCGGGACCGGGGCTGGCTCGGGGAAGGCAGCAGTAGGCAGTGATTGCTATCTGGTGGGGCAGATGGAGCCACGTTTGAAGCGCTGGATCTCGGTAGGTCGTCGATTTCCCCAGCCCGTGTCGCCGATCTCCGAGGAAAGACCGGGGGTGCGAGACCCAGAGGTCAGCAGCGCTTGTACTGCACGATGTCAGTAATAGTCGAATGTCCAGTGTACGCGAGCTACGAATGTTGGTAGGGACGGGGTGTATTCCGCCGCGGCGTTTACCTATTTATATTATCGGTGCAATGAATGATGGGAATCTTTCGGGGTGTGAGTCGCAAATATCCCGCAATAAATCCCCTGGTGTGAGTGAAGTTCTAGGTAATTTGTGAGCGATGAGCATCACTTGTCTTTGGGACACGTTGCTCCTCAAGGTCATGTAAGTTATCTCACTCCATGGACCGTACTCAGGGTCAGTCCATGTGCTAATCGATTTGGATCCGCTAATAATCGGCATGCTCTCGTGGAGCTCCCGTCGTACGCTTGGCGCACTCTGCCACCACGCACGCTCTTATGACGGAGTTCCCACAGCCCGTCCCGCACCGAGTGATTCCGCACGATCGGCCTGCCGTGTCTGTCGGCCACGGTAGACCTCGAACGAAGCACAGGGCGTCTATATGTCACCTTAAATGTTTGTGGGGAATTCATTGGTCAACCGTCGCCATTTGTGGTCGTTTCAGTATGTCCAGCTCGTTTCGTCTCTGATGAGACTTTTGCTTATTGCTGTGATGTGGCTCCATATGACAAAACCGCTGTGGGATGGTGATCATGATGGCAGTATTTATCTTGGTTTTAATATGATGCGCTTGTTACATGAAATTACAGCGTTGGGGGCTGGGTTCCCTTTTTATTGGGGCGCTGATACGTGTGAGTGTTCGTAAGTACCATTTTTGTGTGCGTGCTGTCCTGTTCGTAAGCGACCGCTACAAAAGGGACGTATCGCAGAGAGCAGCTTACGTTTTAATCGTGGTCATGAATACCGAATTATTCAGTAAACATTTCCGCGCAATTTTGTCGGGCCGCTGATTAATTAAACAATACAAGGCACTCGAACTTCGGACTTGGCTTTGGCTGCACCATTAGTGAGGCAAGTTCCGTGAAGAAATCATAGTTGCGGCACTCGGCGCTAGAGGCACTACATGCGCGAAATGCCTACAGCTCCTACATAATCACAAGACTAAATGAGACGAGATGACAAAAGGAGCTTGCAAAATCGTTGTCCAAATCCACTGACCAGCGAGTCCCGCTGGGCGCTGCATGAAGTTTATTGCTCCTCTCCAAGTTTTCTCCTTGAACACCGGTTTGCTCAGAATACTGGCGGTATGTGGACGGCCACGGAGCTGAAGTCGCCGATGTTCACCTTGTGAATGTTGAGCGGCGGCCCGAGCGACAGGTGGCGGGTCCGTGAGGCCAGTTTGGGCAGTGACAGCGGTGACGGCTCCGTGTCCCCGTGCTCGGAGGGCTCCGGCGGCTGGCTGGCCTGGCGGCGCCGGCGGCCCGCCCCGGTCACCGCCACGGCCGGCTCCGCAGCGCCGAACCGGGCGGCGGCGCGGCCCCGAGAGGCGAGCAGCTGGCGGACGTGCGGCCGCAGCCCGGCCGAGCGCGGCGACATCACGCTCCGCCGGCCGGCCTGGCGCGACCACCACACCTGGGCGTCCTGCCGGACCCGCTCCAGCTCCCGCAGGTCACGGACGGTGTCGGTGTGGTAGGTGCCGCCGGAGCCGCTGCCGGCCCGACTGGGGGCGCCGCTGCCGCTGCTAAAGATCACCCCCTGCACGATCCCACCTCCGCCGACCGAGCTGCCGCCGCCGTCACTGTCACTGAGCGCCGTCTCGTACACAATACCGCCCGTGAGACCGCCGGTGAATGTCCCGTACCGGCCGGCGCCGCTCCTGCCGCCGTGGCCGTGGCTGCGCTCCATCTGCTGCTGGATGACGCGGATCGCCTCCCGGGAGACGCTGTCGGTGGCGGCCTGCAGTCGACCCACGGCCTCCTGCTCGGCCCTCCGCGCCCGCTCGGCCTCCCCGGGCCCGCGCGGCCCGCCGCTGCCCGGTATCGGCGACAGACGTGAGCCGTCCCTCCATCCGGGCGGCCCGGGAGCGGCGGCGGCGGCCGGCGCGTGCAGCTGCACCACCGTAGGGATCCAGCGCGGCCGGTCGTCGGCCGGCGCGGCCAGCGGGCTCGCCAGGCTGGCCTGCAGGCTGGAGACGCTGCCCTGGCTAGCGGCGCTGCTGTCCGCGCCGACACCGACACCGATGGACGGGAACCAGGTGCGGTGGCGCGGAGAGGGAGTGACCGACCCGGCGCGGGGAGAGCCCGTTTCTGGGCTCCCCCGGCCCGCCCGTCCCGGCCGGCCGCGCCGCTCCGCCGGCCCCTGCGCGGCGGCACGGTCCCGGCGCCGGCGCCGCTGCCGCCCGCACTCTGTGCAAGAACAGTCGGCCAGGTGCGGCACCTGCATGTGCATCGGGACCGTGGTCGGCGTCAGGACGGCGGGTACCGGCAATGGCAGGTCGCGCCGCCGGCCGGCCAGCTGCCGCTCGGAGCGGGTGGCCGCCTTGGGCCGCCGCGACCGTCGCCGGCCCGCCTGCGCCTCGCACGGCCGGCCGCCGACCGCCAGTGGAGGCCCCACCTTGTCCAGCATGCCCATGTCGATGGCGTCGTTGATGACTGCTCGGTTCGCACGTTGGATGAAGTCGACCTGAGGAAAGAGTTGGAGCGGTGTCAAAATAGACGAGACAGTCAAGCTCACTGCGAGACCACCCCTTATCGGCACAACGCTCTAGTAGCTTTAGCCACAACCTATCAGCATTTGCTCCTCTGTAATGCTATATGTGTCGAGCTACAAAAACTCACATTTTTGACGATGACTGCAATGAAGACGCCCGAGGACGTGGGAGTTTGCGGCAGGACCAGGAACGGGATGGCGATATCCTCCTCTGGAATGTTGACCAGCTGTCGGAACTCGTACAGCTTGTCCGGCGGCGTCTGTTCAAAAAGATGAAACGGGCACCAACCGATCATATCAACTGATCTGTGAGCCATTTCACACAGGCTCGCAGCACACAGTTGTAGCCATAAGACGGGCGCAGCTGAGCTACTGATGCGCGTCTCCAGGGTAGACTGACCCCGTCCCCTAGGGTATCACCTCCCTCTAGGTCTCTTTCCCTGTCCCTGGGTCAACTCAGCTCACCCCTTAGAGTACCTCGCCTCCCCGCGGGTTACTGACCTCGATCTCCAGTTTGCCGTGCTCTCGCGCCTCCTGCCAGCGCCGTCGCTGTTCCTCGTTCACTTCATCCACCACACCGAACACCACCTCCTCGTTCTCGGCTCGGTTCGACGAGTGGGTGGCGTATACGACCACACGGACATCTGGCGGCGAGAACAGCAACTACTAGTACCATCGCCGGGCTCTTGATAGCCGATCGGACGGATACGAGCCTTCCGCGTAGGCATTGCACGGGCAGACCCATGCATCGGAACTGTCGGCTCAGCTAGCCCCTTGGCTAGCCCTACCATCCACCGTCGCTCGTCTCAGCAACTATGACATAAGAGCCGCTATGCTTTGCCGCTATGCTTTGTCACGATGGAAGCCCGGGCCGATCGGATCGAAAACCAAATCAGATCGCACACGGTCGAATCCAGAGCATCGGTCGTCGGACGACAAACGTCGGAGCAATTGTTATTACTTATTTGTTTTGTGCTATGTGCACTGCGCATGCTTATCATCGCACCGAACGATAATGCCTGAAAGTATTTAGGTTTTCTCAGATATGACCGACCGTTTCGTTTCGCCATGATTCCTTACAATCCACTCTCCGCTCTCCGTTTGTAATTTTGCATCACCGATTACCTACTTCCGCGCTACCACCCCAGTTCCGCTCCTAATGCCACCGGCACGTGTGACAGTGGTGTGATGTGACCGGCGGCAGCTCTGTGGATGTGGGCCCTGGCGTCATCCCCACATCCACTGTCCTCTCGCCGCCAGCGCCGTCACTATACCGCCCCAGCTCGTAACCCGCCGGGTTAAGTGCTGTCCAGTGATGAGAAGGCGCCGGATGGGGCGGCCGTCTCCCGTTCGCCCGAGGCCATATCCCGGGAGCAATCGTGCCGCCGGCCGCCGCCAGGCAGCCGTCAGTGGCTCCTAGTAACGCAGCGGCGACCCAGTGGCTGTTGACCTCAGACGGGCGGTCGTGCGCCGGGCGGGACGCCGGACTGGGTGCCGTATCATCCGCTGGGATGGACATCAGACGACACCGAGCGACAGCCGACACCGTGACTGTCATACCAGGTCAGTCCGTTGCCGGGGGAAGAGGTTTCCCGGCTACACGGCTATGACGCAATAGTCGCACAGAAGCCGGTGTTATATCCAGAGCTTGAGTAATTGAGTGTACGGTTGACGTGCGTTGCCTGGACATGACAGGTAATGTATATGAAGTGCAATTTGAAGTGTAACTAAGGGCGCCGTGTCTCGGACTCTGTTCACTCACTCGGCGGTCAGGGCGCAGTGGGCTCTCAGCTCTGGGTAATCTGAGGTCGCCGTCCACTCTGTACACTATACAGTCTGCAAGGGCGCAGTGGGCTCTGGGTAATCTGAAGGCGCCGTGGGCTCTGGGCAATCTGAGGGCGCCGCGTACTCTATGCGCTATACAGTTGAGGGCGCCGTGTGTCACTCAGTTGACAGTTCACTCACTGGGCAGTCGGAGGGCGCGCAGCAGTGTCTCGTTCTGACTGGTAACCAGTGCCGAGACCCGCTGGGGCAGTGCTGACTTGGTCGGGTCCATCGACAGCTCCCTCAGCAGAGCTATGTCTGAAATGGCGACAGAGCACATTCAATGGTGACATGCTTAGATACACTTTTTCACAGATGCACACGTACTCGTGACCTAACACTCATTTTAGACGGTGCGTGTAGGTCAAATTGGTAGGTATTCGATATTTTTTCCAAACTAATTAAAAAATGACTTGCCTATAAAAAACGTTAACATACTTACATACACGTTTTTAACGGGTACGGGTCTCTAATATCAAAAGTAAATGCTAGAATCGCATTTCAACCGGATACATTTTATACTTCGTGGTTATTGTTCAGCGAAAGTGTAAAACCCGCTTCATTGTTATTCGATCGCAGTGTGGAGTGTGCGCCCCGCGCGCAGTAAAACCGGCAGCTCTGGTGCGGCGGAGGCGTTCTCCCCTACCCTCCCCGTCGGGACCCATCCGCGACAGTCCCGGCGTGATTTGGTGTGCCGTCGCGTGAGAAGTGTATTTGTGTTGTTACTTGTTATCGATTGTTGTGTTTATTATTACGTCGCGTACCACGGGGCTGTGATGCTTGTGTGCCTTGTATCGCGTTGGCGGGCGCTCCGCCGGCCGCTGCCCGCGCTCGCTGTAGCGCCGGCCAATCAGAGGGCCGGGCCGGGCGGCTAGCCCCAGGCGCCGGCCGAACTGACCTGGGGTCGGGACTCGGAGCGGCAGTCAGTCGGCTCTCGATCTCTGCGCGGTACGTGCCCGTCCGGACACGTGCTCTCTGAGCTCGGGCGTCGCTCCGGCGATTTGAGGCCGTCCCAATAAGCTAATACTGGTGGTTCGCCCTTATGGACGACCTTTGATGCCAGTATCCCCCCGAAAATCCAACACGTTTTGTCTCCTTTCTGGGTATGGTTTCGACCGTTCGGCCGAACCTACTCATGAAATTATCTTAATCTTTCACCCCTCTTATATTCACTCTTGAGTCTTGATATAAGCTAAGCTCCAGTTTAACTCCGGCCATAGCGCCGTTTCACCTCAGGGTTAAACACACGACAGTACAGTAGGTCTATTAAAAAAGTCCCCAGCACCAGTGGGCGCTGCCTCCGCTGAGCCGAACCCCCGTCTGCCTGTCCCATATCGCGCCGGGCTCAGGTCAGATAGGGTCAGCGGGACCGCTCGGTCCGGCCCGCGGGCGGTGGACGGGCGGCCGGTAACCCTTTCCGCCAGCCAGCTGTAGAATCCAACAAACGGGACGGCCGCCGCTCAGCGCAGCGAAACCGGTGTTGAAGAATGGCAGTAGATGTTCATAGCCACAATGATTATGAGAGTCATTGCAGTCATTGTTAGCCCGTGCCCCACAGGAATGCCTATGCACGCCCTGTTGGAGGGAAAATGGGGATTGAGCATCATTCTTATAACTCAGCTTTGGGCATTTAAGTGGCATTCGAAGTAGCGTCAAAAGTAGCAAAAAGAAGAAGAAATACACTTCAGCCAATTTTAGATCGGGTCAGAGCCAGAGGTCATGTCACCAGAGGTCATCGGTGGTAAAATTTTGCTTGGACAGGGTGCGTTGCGCGCACCGGTGCATTGGGTTTCCAGTTTCCATGGAGACATCAACAGACTCGGGAGCTCGCAACGCTAGCGTGGAGCCGAATTCATATCAACCGCCGCAACAATGCAGCAGCGCAGCGCAGCGTGCTGCAACGCGGGGCCGTGAAACACCGCCCAGGGCTATCCATGTGTCAGGGCAATCCAACCCACGTGATGGGCTCGGCCCCGGCGGAGCATGAGGTCCAGGACTCCCGCCCAGGCCCCCTGTCTCCCCCTAATTCCTGTCATCCTTCCCACTCTGAAATCGACCGAGCCTAACCTAACACAACAATCAGCTCGTTTACCGCAATGTCTGAATAATATTGTCAGATTTAATAAAGGCGAACGGCTTAGCACGTAAATAACAGCAACTGCCACCATCGGTATTATGAGAAAACCAATTGCTTTTCCACAAACACTTAAAAGTTGTTAGGTTAAAACTTGCTTGAAATTAATTTTACCAGCCTCGTGTTCCTCTTATCAAACAACGCTTCGAATGAATCAAAAGTTGATCTTTAAAGGTCATTTGAAAAATGTGGCCTATGTTCAAAGACATGACCTGACCAGAAATGGTCATGATGCATAGCAGGATATTAGATTCGTATCGTGGAACTTTACAAACACTTTAGATGATTTCATAACTTAAGCATGTCTATCAAAAATAATTAAGACATGGCTCATATATAAGCTGGGTGTGTGATCATGCTTACTAGTATGTTTAACGCAACTGATAATGTTCTGTTGGCCACAATTTCTATATTTAATTTATTCTCCCGGATTTCATATTTTTATTAATGACACCTTGACGATGTCGAGGAAAAAACGCTTAGGAGATTTAACAGCCTGAGATACATTCAGTATAAGGAAGGGTCAAGGGTGCTAGATCCCTTCCGTCCTCGCTATCCTCAGGAAAAAACAATCCGCATCGCCCCTAGTCTTCATGCTTCCCTCTCTGGACTGGAGGTCACCCCACCAGCCAACCTGTAGTTGATGTCGGATCCATTCCAGGACACATAATCCTCTTCGGGTGACCGTTTGGGAGACGGCTGGACCGTCCCGACAGGGCAATCGTCCCACGGGAACAGTCTCGCTTCCGCAGATCACTGTCGCTGGCTCGCACAACCCAACTACTACACCAGAGCATAGTTATGTCATAGCTCTGCAAGGGCCTTTTCAGACCGAAAGAGTGTTTATTATGCGTTCCGTCCAAAAAAGCGCAGTTCAATTTTCTCCCATTGACTTGAGCGATCTCAAAATTGACCCGGCCTTTCTGTCAACAACGTCAAACTTGCAAAGTAAACGTTTCAAATACATATAGTGTTGCCCATTGAAATCGCTGAAAGTTCTAAAGCGATCGGTTAGTCGGTGTATTTAGATATGATGAGCACGGGAACTTTCCTTGAGGTAAGGTCACTTGACGTGACCTGGTGTTATGACCTTGAATTGAAAGACTTGGGCGGGAAAAATGGGTTATTTGAAATCTGAACATGCTAGATTTTAACAATAATTTCAAACACTATCCCGGCCAAATAGTGAGTGAGAAGGGAGCGATCCCCCAACCCCATGTTTAGCTCCTATAATTGAGCTAGCTGCTAGAGCCTCGAAGAAAAAAAAACGAGCGCTTGCTTCGTTACGTGACGCAGCGACTGGTACCCCATTTTAAAATATCAGTGACCTCTTAGGGCAGGTCAAGGGCCCCAAGGTATTCGATCGGATTTTGGTAAATAACTTCGCAAAAATGGTTGCATTATCGTCATTTCGATACAATCGTGTTTTCTGTTCTCAGACGCGTCGATTTATATGCTTTTTTGTTTAGGTGAAGCAATTTAGAATGTTTACCTGAGGTCAATGTCATGTTAGGGCAACACAGGTCACGAAGCTGTTGAAAGGAGGACATGTTGCATAACATTTGATTCGGCAAGTCTTGCAAAGTCCAAAGATGGCTGTCCCGACTGGCTAGCTCATTTTGATCGGGAGTTATTGACGAAGCACTCCTATCACCCTAGTGACGTCATAAATGACGTCACGCAAGGTGAACAATGCAAAAGTGAAGCATTAGACCTTGCCAAGAATGTATGAAGTCACGATTTGAAGTGCTTGAGGTGTAACTTTAGATCATTTCCGACGCCAAATTAACAGTTTCCATATTTCTCCATTATGCTTGACACTAAGTGCATTGCGGATTTGCATCATCTTATAACCGACAACCGTGCAGAGGTTTACTTAACCCTCGCCGGACCTATTGGTTTTCTACATACGCACCGGCCGAGGGGGGGGGGGCGGGTACGACCCCACCCTCGCCGTTTCGCCCCAGGTGGAGCTAGCGCGTCGCAGAAAAAACGAGCGTGTGCGCCGTTACGAGACACAGAGATTGGTACCCGATTTTAAGGTCCTAGGTCAACCGGTGACCTCTGAGGTCAGGTCAAGTGCCCCAAGGTACGGTTCAGTTTTTGGTGAATAACTTCGCAAAAACGGCCGCAGAGCCGCTATTTTGGCAGCATCGTGTTCGCCTTGCTCAGGCGCGTCGAATGCTATACTTTTTGTCCGGGTCAGGTTAACTTGGGGTGTTGACCTCAGGTCAAGGTCAGGTCAGCACCCTCAGGTCACGAAGTTGGTCGAAAGAGGTCATGTCGCATATCATTCGATTCGGCAGGTCTTCCTGAGTCCATTGGTGGCTTTCCCGACTCGCTAGCTCAATTTGATCAAGAGTTATTGACGAAAAACTAATATGACCTTGATGACGTCATAAATGACGTCACGCAAGGTCAACATTGCAAAAGTGACGCATCTAACCTTGCAAGGAGTGCATTAAATCACGATTCTGTGTGCTTGAGGTAGTTAGAGATCGTTCCCGGCGCCAGAATAGCAGTTTTCATTTTTCCCTTTGACTTATAAATGGTGAGGTCACGAAAATGACCTGACCTCATATGACCTTTAGGAAAAATCCGAGATATACAAGTTGTGAGATTCATAATGGATACTAGATCCTGCAAGTTTCACTTCTCTGTGACATCTCCTCTAGCAGTGAGGGCGTTGCGAAGTTGCGACATCTGAAGACCGTGCAGAGGCCCACTTATGACGCCATAGGTCAGTGACCTGACCTGACCCAAAAATGCGTTTGGTGTCAAAAGATCCGGCTTGAATCAAAGGTCAGGTATGCCAAGTTTCAGCTTTCTATCGCCAGCGTGTTCGGAGCTATCGCGAAAAAAAACTATTGGGGGCGGCACCGTCCCCCCCCCTCGGCCGGCGAGGGTGAAGACGCCATGGTTAAGTGACCTGACCTGAAAACGTGGTTGATGTCAAATGATCCGGCGTGAATCAAATGCAAGGCATATGAAATGCCAGCCTTCTATCAACAGTGTGCTTTGAGCTACCGCAAAAAAAAAAAAATACATGGTGGCGGCATTCACCCCTTCTTCTCGGCCGGCGAGGGTTAAACCTCGCTTCGAATTATTGCAGATAATGATGCGACCGAAAACGAAGCATTTATCTGTGTCTAGAACGGCCGCTGACTTGTTGGACAAGACCCCCAATCTTGATTTGCTAGATGGGAATAAAATGCTGGGTATGTGATACATATATACCCCTCGATTTCCTCTCGCGCTATGTCTATTTTAATCATTACTGTCGCTTTTTTTATCAGAAATGATGTCGCCGCTAAACGGGTTGTTTTGTTTGCTTGCGTGCGTTGAATGGTCATTACGGATTATTGAAGGGTTATGATAAAATAGGAATGGGGCGAGGGAGGATATGCACTGCGTCTGCGGGTGTTTAATTTAGATCACAAAGGCATCATTTCCGGCATAGTGCAGTCACTATCTTCCCCCTCCTCTGCACTGCGGCATCTCTGCGCCCCTCACACGGCATCCTCACTCCACGGCCGGCCGCCGCCAACTGACCCACTCGCCGGGCGCCGCGACCTGACCCGTGTCGCTGCCGCGGCCTGCGCAATAGAGTCGGGGCTGGAATCCGGGGGTTCGGCCGGCCGGCCGCCTCTGGAGCGGGGGACTTTTTTTGTAGACCTACTGTACAATCGCACACATCAGCGGGATGCGCTCATGTTCGACGGCTCGATGCGTCTGACTCGTTCTTGGATTCGTGTTTGTCTCTGCTGGCAAGTGTCTAACCAGCTCATGTCTTGTTCTTGATTTGTCTTGATTTTCGGCACGCATGAGTAAGGCTTGTGCGGAGGTTTCTCCGACAAGGCTTTTGACAATACATTTAAGACGTGCCAAGTACAGCTTTGACCTGGCGGTCGCGGTGATCAGTCGGCTAGTCCATTCTCTCAAATGATACAGTCCACTTAAAGCTCTCCACACCCACTTCGACTGCACGTCCCCCGCCACAGTAGGGTGCCAACGCGGGCCACTCTCTGTGGACAGCGGCAGGGCCGCTCCAAGTTTCGACGTGCAGGGCGACCTTTCAACATCAACACGGGGTAGCGGCCACGACACGCAGCACCACCCACGATTTGTTGTAGAATGATGACCTTATGACGACGCGAACGAGTGCCTACAGTGAGAAGAATTACGGCCGATGGATAGCCAGACAACACTGCAATAAGCTATAACTTCCGAATAAGGTAGGTATACTCGATATGACTTTATTTCACAAACTACATTAATGTCGCTTGATACCTTGGTACCTATGAATCAATGCATAATAACTGCCTTGAAAACGTGAACAGAAGCACCATACCCTGATTCTCGTCGAATGCAATCGTCTGAGGCTAACACTGACCAATCAAGATAGCCATGGTTTATTGGCGAGCAACCATAGCCTTCTCTTTGGAGCGCCGCCTGCTTGCGCGTTTGCTCCGTCAGAATAAAACGATAAAGTGTTCTCGATTTCCATATAAAAGTTGTTAGCTAGTAGAAAAGGGCTAACCACTCGGCCATCATCGACCTGACCTTAAAAGTTTGATTTCATTTAAGGTTAAGACCTCCATAAGGTTAAGACCTCCATACTCATAGGTCTTACAAAATACAGTTGTAACAATGTTACATGTAAGACCTTGCCAGTTTAGGTACCTATGTATAACACACTAGAGACGTTATAACGAATTCGTAGATATCTTGCGCTCGGTAGGTATTGAACCCTTTTCCCCGAAAAAATGTTATTATTGTGCATAATTTAGTCGATCTGAGCAATATTCGAGGAATCTTGCTGAACCAGCCTGACCAGGCCTTCCGCTCCTATTCACTTCCCTTCCCATTCACCTCCACTCCCTTCCCTCTCCCCTCCCCTCTCACCTCCGCCCTCCTCCATCACCCAGTCGACGGGGTCGGCCAGCGCGGTGTGTGTCGTCACCGGGGTGACCAGCACGGCCATCACGTCCCGGAGCTCGGCGGCGCGGCCGTGCGTCTCCAGTCCTCCGGACATGACCCGGGCGTCGGCCACCCCCAGCTCCTGCAGCTGACGCTCCACCACCGCCTTCCTGCGGCGTCAGAGCGACGGGCAACTAAGGACCGAGGCTGACGGACGAGCTAAGGTCTGCCTGCCTGACAAAGCCTGGACTGTATGCTTTGCCGCTTTGTAGCTGATTGTCAATATTGAATTTACAGACGGGTTATGAACGCACGAACCTTAAATGCATATTTTTCAATCCTCAAGTTTGAAAAAAACCTTTGATTGCATTTATTCTGTCTGATGTATCTCAGCTTGCACCGATAAGCTACTTAGCTGCCTGGCAGACGGGCGTAGCACGGCGGCGCGCCAGCGGGTAGATACTGTCCCGCAATACAGCCATGTCGTGCGGTACAGCCTACCTTTCAGGCAATTTCCATTCTCTGCCAGTAGCGTGCACTGCACTGCTGTTAGCGGGCGATTCAAAACATCAGAGACATTTCCAACATATATTTTGTACAATAATGTTGCATATAAAGTATACGTTACAATTTAATTAATGCAATTTATTTTTGCTAATATAAGGAAGCAATAATAATAAAAATATTCACCTGTCCTAGTTCCTTCAAACCTTCACGTCCTACTTAATGTAAAAACTAAAAAGCACATGGCGACTCAGCACTCTCAACATTGTTAAAGACACGTTTTTTTTTACTTTTTACTTTTTACGCTGTCTACATAATTAGCCACAACTCCACTTGAGTAGTTACCAGCGTTCCTCTTTACGGCTACTTGGAATAAATGAAGGTATCATTCAAGCGCAGCACAGTCGTAAAGGAATCGACGACCTCCCGATCAGAAGGTCAAGTCCCTGACCCAGTTCAGAGGGCGGAGGAGCAGCCGCTGCTGTTTATTTCAGTCGGTGAATGACGCCAAAATGGCCATTCAAGGTGTCTGGAGCGCTGCGTCATGCAGTAATGGGCGGAAATTCGGACAGCCCAGTCGACCTGATGAATGCTGTAAAGCCGCGACATAGTACTGTTTTACGGGCCCGTTTCTAACATACAGGCTCTTCTGGCGGCTATTGAAACGACAACAATCCCCATTTATGACCTACTGGGTTGCGAGAAAATGGTAAAATAGTCTACTTCGGAATCTGAATGTCACTTCGGTAATCGCAGCTATCGAATCATTAGGATAGAAGAGCAATAAACCAGTCTTTAGAACGTTTCTATTTTTCGTAGCTTGAACGTTCAGTTCAATGGAAGAGGCCATCAACTGACCACTCATTGCCAGGGCTAATGCGGTTCTTGGAATCGAATAACGTGCCCCTTTTTATAATCAACTTACGGAAATGGTTGTGGACTGTGGTGCACTGCAGCTGTTCGGAGGCTGATACATTCGATTGTCTTTTTATGGAAATACGTGTTAACACAAAGGGACACATGCTTCAGTTTCGCAACCGGTCCCAGTGCTTCAGTAGCCTATTAAAAGTTCGACACCAGCTGGACACTCTCATCATTGCCTGCGTCCCTGCGAGTCTGTAGGCTTCTGGTCCTCTCCGGCTGCCAGATTGCCTCGCCCTGCCACCGAGATACTCTTCATCCCAGCAGGAGGCCTCTGACAATCTCGCAAAGTAGCGCCGCGAGACGGCCACGGAACGGATCAGCAAAGTTTCCCGGCCGGCCGTCAGCCCGCCTGATGAGGCTGTGGACGGAGCGGTCCGTCATCCGCGCGCCGGCGGCACACCCGGTCCCTGACGGGCCGCCGCCGCAGATGACAGAGTTCGACCGACACGTGTCACTTGTGACAGGCCGCCAGAGGTCACAGGAGGCGGGATGACGACGAAAATGCAGTACGTAACAATTGGTTTGGAATGCAAATTTTATATCAGTTGTTAGTGTAAAGCATTTTCAACACTTGTTGTTCGCTGGCTTTATATGCCAGGGACAGCCCATAGAGAGAGCATGGACATTGGACAAAGTGTGGTTGAAATTGTTATCACAAACCACTTACGAGCTCCAGCATGCTAAGCAGATCCTCAGAAGCCCAGTCGTGAAGGTTACGCCCGCAAACTTCGTGGTGGATGGTTACTGGTTAGCAAACTTGAATTGCATGCATCAACTTTTAACTATACGTATACGTCAAGGTCCGCCCTCGCTTTTGATCCAGTGACACACCGACAAAAGCGTCGTAATATCCCACGCTCAGTCCCGGACGTCAATATCTCAAACAGTATCACACGTTAGTATCTTCTAATATCCTGTCTTTGACCCGTCTCTCTTTTTACCCGTCTCCCGTCCCTCCGTTTCACCGGTCTCTCCGTGTCTCCTGTCTCCCCATTTCACCTGTCTCCGGACATGGCTAGCATAGCAGGCGGCTGATGTTGCCCCGCGTCTCCCGTCTCCCCGTCTCACCTGTCTCCGGACATGGCCAGCAATCGGCTGATGCTGCTCCCGTCTCCCCGTCTCTCCCGTCTCCTCGTCTCACCTGTCTCCGGACATGGCCAGCAGTCGGCTGATGTTGCCCCGCGTCTCCCGTCTTCCCCGGTCTCTCGTCTCACCTGTCTCCGGACATGGCCAGCAGGCGGCTGATGTTGTCCCGGTCGGGCAGCAGCGACAGCAGGTGCGCCAGCGACCTGCCGCTCCCGGCTCCCACCTGGAGCACGGAGCCGCGCAGCTCCGGCTCCCGCTGACGCAGACGGCGCAGCTCCTGCGCGGTCGCGTACGCCGGCAGGCAGCACGCCTTCTCCTATACAGACAGACACACAAAGAAACTTAGAAACGAGGATTATTATGCATTGCAACTTCATTTCCAGTTGGTCATTTGCTTGATAGATGTAAGTCAGATGGAAAAGAGAAATGCTCGTAATTCGTATCTGAATTGTAATCTGCATTAGCGCCTTTTTGTTTTGTCGGTCAGCCTTCAACGCTTGGACCGATATGTATTTGTAGGCTAATGCACTTATCTGCTCATGTAGTTTATCAAATTCATTACCTGCAGAATGATCCAGTGTTTCTTGAATGTCGCCGTCTTCTCCAGCGTCTTCTTCCAGCCGGACTCGAAGACGAGCAGATCAGGAAAATCATCATCGTAATGAAAGCTGCTCTCTGTCAGTCCGGGCTGCAGGATTTTCAGCGTCGAGCCGAGACTGTCCAAGATCTGCTGCGAACTGGAACGATCGATACGGTCTGAGTAGCGCTGCTGGTCATGGCGCTCGGATGACGAGCTGGCGCCGACAGCCCCGTCCGGCGCCCACACACGGAGCCGCGCGCTGAAGGCCGTCGCTCTCGACGTGAGAAGACGCGGTGAAAGCGGGCGGGGATGACGGCGGTGCATTAGGTAACCGATGGCTTGATCGACTATCGGCGTGAACTGGAGCCAGCCGTGTCGGGCTGTCGGCTCGTATTACAGAGCGGGCCTCGAGGCGCGCTGGGAGGTCGATTATCATGTCAGAGTGCGATGAGGAGATTTGAGCCTGCTCCGTGACCACCCACGACTTTGTCGGCCCAGCCCCCGCCGCCGGCGCCGAGTGTGGGCGCCGACACCCAGCGTCAGGGACACGGCACGGTCAGAGGTTACGGCAGCCGGAGCCGACTGAGCGATCGACCTCAGAGCATATCACACATTCGATCGCGTACAATTTGGCGCTAAAACCTTACGCTTCCCTTACTTTTTGAAAACAGTGCCCAATCGCATCACATTTTATGAGAAAAGATTGTAAGGGAATATTGTTATACATATTTATGTGTTATGTGGAAAACAGTAAACTGTCTCGGCCTCCCACCTGGCCTTGTTGCAGTTGATCCAGGCGTGCACGGGCCGGTGGCGGGCCGGCTCGGGCGGGTGCACCTCCGCCGGCAGCAGCGTCTGCAGCGTCGGCGCGTCGTGCAGGATGCGGATCCTGGCCAGGGCAGCCGACAGGCGGGTGCGCAGGTGGAACAGCGCCTCCTCGAGCTGACAGTGGCGCGGGTGCTGTCGGTCTGAGGGCAGCGCCTGACGCCGCTGGAACCGCCGGTCCTGGTAGTCGTACAGAATGACCGAGGCCAGACTCAGCTCGTCCTGAAACTGCAGCGGCGCAAAGCACGGAGGGTTAGTCGAGATAAACGGTGAAGAACTTAAAATATAAGCCGGGAGCGGTCACCGTGAGGCGTGAGCGAATATTACGACTGCATGCACGAACATAATCGACATGAGCGAGAGCGTAATGAGGCAAACATGTCTCATCACTGAACTTCTCTTTCATTAGATGCAATATGTATTCCGGAGTGACCTTTTGACGCGTTTTGTGTACAGATGCCGGGTTGGAATGTTATGTAACTCACCTCGGGATACTTGACGACAAAGCCCACGTCGTCCAAAGTCTGGCGGAGAACTTCCTCATCTGTGGAGAGAAATATGGACCACTAATTCTGACTGTCCTCCGCTGAACATGAAACTCATGACATTTTACGTGAGACATGACCCAAGACCTATAAAGCTTACATTTCATGGCGGCGTAAGCCAACTCAAAGGCGAGCTTCTTCTCTTCATTGCAGCTAAATTCGATGTTTTCAACAAATAAATTGCACTTGCTGCCAGGCTGGTATTCGTGTAGTCTATCAAAGATTTCGGCCGCTTTTCTGTAGAGCTGGATGCCGTAGTGGCAGGGAAATCGAAACAGGCCGTCATAGAATGTGCGCAGCGGCACCCGCTCGGCCAGCTGAAGGGTGATCAGGGAGGTGGCTGACAGTCTGGTGAGGTCGTGCGGCAGACGAGACGTCAGCGACACTGACGACGTGAGACGCACGCTGCCCGGAGTGCCGGGACGAGCGGGCATCACCATCATCGGAGATGGGAAAAAGATCTCGCCCTCCGACAGCGGAAGGCGGGGGACGACCGTGGCGTTCTCCATGTCGCTTCGATTGAGAACGTGAATTATATCCACTAAGTTATTTCTTCCGAAAACTCATTTATGGTAGGGTCCGCCATCCGAAATCAATGGATGATAGTTTTACTTGATAGGTCACAGTTCTGTTAGATAAAATCAAACAAAACACAACAAAATCAATGGACCAAAGAAAATTGAGTCGCATTACAAGGCCAGTCATAAATCTCCGCTGCGCCAATATTGGCTGCCGCTGTAAGCCAGGGATCACAAATCTCGTGCCCCAGTGCATTAGGAACCGTCATCCAATTAACACAGCCACGTGTAATCCTTGCCGTCTTTTACGCAGCTCACCTGTGCTTAGATGGCCTTACTCCGACCGCCCTACACCCACCGGTCACATTGGCCGTCGTGCGAAACGGTGTCAGAGCGCCTCGGGGGTTCGACCGCCGACTGACGCGACCCACATTGGCCCCAGGACAACATTGCTTTTCCATCGCCGCGCTCTGATTGGATTAGCGGATATTGCTGTACGCATTACCAGCCGTCATACAGCCCAGTTCGCTGCAGTGCCGCCTGATACGGCGCTGACCCAGAAACATAGAAACCAGAAAGGGTAATATCGCCTCCCGGGAAAAACAATAGACGCGCTAATGCATGTGACCGGCTGATGCAACAGTCCTTTTCCAATAACATTTATAGCAAAGTAACATATCCTCACTGTATCCAGGGAAATAAGAAATATTTAAAAAACTGAAAACACGTGCTGGCTTACGTTGACCTAAATGCCTAACTAACATAGCTACAGAATATTTGTGAATTCGTAACGCCATTTTGATATTTCTTGGCAATATGAAAAAAAAAATCGAACAGCCTACAATGAAAGGACATCTTCAATCGTCCGTATTAGCTCGCGTATGACTGAGGTCTGAGGCCGAACAAAATCCCATTCATTTAAAAAATGTTGGTTTTAATCGACATTATGTAAAGCATGTTTAGAGATCGCTACAATTTCTCCTCCTAAATATCAGCTGGACGTTGCACGTGTGAATGATGTAGCCTGCTTCCGAAATACAGCACCACCGCAGCCTCTACAACGACTGTCAGGACAATTACACGATAACAATGGGTTTGCTAATACCACCTCATTACCTTTATCTTTAGTGATTAGGCCGCACTTTCCGCCTGTATTGAGGGCGTTGCAAGTGGCTCACATTTGGCAAACACGCGGACCGTAACCGGTAACAGTTCCGCCGCCCCCACACGACAGAGGGCCCGCACAAGGATAGGGTGACACGTATGACCTACCCCAACCGAGCGGCGCCGGCCGAGCCTGCACGCACCTGATGAGCCGGCGATACCGGGGCACGACTGGGCCGGCGAGTTCTTATCGACGGCCCACCCACGGCCCTGGCACAGCCCGGCGGGGCTGAGTGGGGTCCGCCGCCCCCGCCGCCGCCCCGCCGCGGACCAGGCCCCGGTCCATTCGGCGGCCGGCTAACGACGGGCACCATTTCCCGCGATGAGCAGCCGGCCTCATCTGGGATGAGTGACGGTGCGCCTGGCGCCGGTGTCGCTGTCCGGCCGGCTGACCTCGCCACTGACCTCTGACCCCGCCCCCGTGACGTCACGGTCGCGGCAGTGTCACTCGGACGGGCATTCAGCGTGGACAATCGTCTGTTTTCGTGGCGGCATAATGGGCCGGTCGATCGGCCGCGAGTGGCAGCCGCAGCGGCAAGGACGTCTGCCGGTCCGCAAAGTGTGTCACAGATTCGACAAGTTACAAACGGTCCACTGCACTGCACTTCACTGCACTGCTCAACACTGCACTTCACTCTGCTCCATAACACCCCATAACCCTCTCTTAAGTCATCTGAACCCTCATAACCTCACATTCGATTCAGTTAGACCTTTTTATGGGTGTCTCGACGCTGACTTGAAATGCGAATAGCCCAAAATTTCAATAATATTTTCGCTGCATGTTTTTTTTTTCATTAATTTTCTTCTTGCTCTTCATTAGAACCGTTTCAGCTATTTATCCTTTTCATTCCCTTTCTCCATCTGCTCTTTTCCGTCTGTATGTGCGTCACAGCTGAGTTTTCCCAGCGCCATTGAGGTGCTCCTTTCACCCTATTCAGGTGCCATGCGGCCGGCCGTCTGAGGTCAGCCGGGTCGGCCGGCACCGGACTCTCGCCGCGTGGATTCAGTTTACTGCCGGGCCGAGACTCGCCAGTGCAGCCGGCGGTCGTGACGCTCAGATGTAGTCGGTATTGTAATGGCCTCACATCTCATCGCCGATCAGCTCGGTCAAAGTTTCTCCTCCTCTCTCTTCATGGGCAAGGTCCCACAACGCCATGTGCCTTATCCTACTTAGCTATAGCCATATCCCAGTCCAACATAAGCGGGAATATCGCACTCCGGCTCGCCTTCTGTTCACCCCAAAAACTTGGTCGCTCGCTTCTATTTTTTCGTACTCTTGAGCCGTTCCCATTCCGGCTCTGACAAAATTGCATCAGTCTAATTGGTGGAGCTACTCGAGCGAGCACTGGGCGGAGGGAGCCGGGCGCGCGGACAGACGGACGGGCGGACGGACGGACGGACAAAGCTGACGGGCGGCAGGGATGGCAGAGCGGACCGACGGGCCGACGGGCGGCCAGACGACGATGTTTGCAGAGCCGCGCTGGTACTGCCTTCCACCCGATTGCTGCTCAGGCTATCTGTGAGCGGACCGTCGGGAGAGCGCGAGGGGCCGATATGCGGGTCCGATTGGGGAGCATTCATTCTGGCCAGGGTTCATAATGTCCAGGGTACGTTATGCCCAGTGTCGAAATGGCCAGTGCCTTAAATGGGCCAGAGTTCATAATGTCCAGGGATTGCATGGTCCAAATGCGGCCAACTGGCTGCAGATAGGGTATATTCAAAGAGGCCAGGGTTCATAATGTCCAGGGCACGATGTGTCCAGTGTTCGAAATGGCCAGGGTTCATAATGTCCAGGGCACGATGTGTCCAGTGTTCAAAATGGCCAGAGTTCAAAATGGCCAGAGTTCATAATGTCCAGGGCACGATGTGTCCAGTGTTCAAAATGGCCAGTGCCTTGAATAGGCCAGAGTTCATAGTGTCCAGGGATTACATAGTCACTGAAAGTGACGCCATTATGTAAAAAAACACGGAACCAGCTCAATGCGAAGCAGTGCAGTGCCGAAGGCAATGCCTTAGGAGAGATTACAGGCAATAGTAAATCAAATATTTTTAGGTTAAGCCGCGCTGGTATCAGGCTTCAGGCCTTCGGCCTGAAGCCAGATACATAACCACTTAACCTAAAAATATTTGATTTACTATTGCTTGCAATCTATTCATGCGAGAAACTATTTCCTTATCCCCGGTAGGCAAACATCATTACCTTAGGTTAGGTTAGGTTAGGTTAGGTTAGGTTAGGTTAGGTTAGGTTAGGTTAGGTTAGGTTAGGTTAGGTTAGGTTAGGTTAGGTTAGGTTAGGTTAGGTTAGGTTAGGTTAGGTTAGGTTAGGTTAGGTTAGGTTAGGTTAGGTTAGGTTAAGTTAGGATAGGTTAGGTTTGGTTGGGTTGGGTGGACTATGTAATCCCTGGACACTATGAACTCTGGCCCATTCAAGGCACTGGCCATTTTGAACACTGGACATATCGTGCCCTGGACATTATGAACCGTGGCCATTTCGAACACGGGACACATCGTGCCCCGGACATTATGAACCCTGGCCATTTCGAGCACTGGACACATCGTGCCCTGGACATTATGAACCCTGGTCTCTTTGAATTTACCCTATCTGCAGCCAGTTGGCCACATTTGGACCATGTAATCCCTGGACAATGTGAACACTGGCCAATTCAAGGCACTGGCCATTTCGAGCACTGGACACATCATGCCCTGGACATTATGAACCCTGGCCTAAATAATACGCACCCGTCCGATTAGCGTCTGGCCGGGTCGGACGGCGCTGACTGCCGAGTGCTTGCCCAGTGCTTGACGCCACGCTCCGCGAGCGGGACCGAGTGTTCGTGACCCGGTGTGCGCGCGGCTGACACAGCTGTGAGTGGCTGGAACGTGCGAATGGTGCCGCCGGGTGGCACGGGGCGGCAGCTCGCGATGGAGGACGGGTAAGAGCTCCCCTGTGATTATCGTAATGGCGCGCCTAAAAAGCTGCGTAAGTGCGTCGCCGCCGGCGCTGATGATGATGATTCGATCTGTAGAAAAGAGCGACAGAGAATCAGTATAATTAGCAGCATGGGGTCGAGTGTAAGTGGTTGAACAGAATCAATATCAAACAGTTACCTAGAAAAATTTAAGTAAACTTTTTGTCGCATGTGAAATTTTGTTCATTGTCTCTAAGTAATTACGGAATGCTTTAGCTCGTTAATTGTCCCACTTTCGTCTCGTTGAAACGGTCTGGGATGTGTTTTCTGGACGTGCACTCAAAAAGGAGGGTTATGTTTTACCTCCCAACATAGGTGCCCTGACACCGCCTATGCATGACCAATACAATTGTAGTCGTTCTCTCATAAGAAAATTGTAACATAACAAGACCATTACCACCCTTTTTAGAAACAGTACCAACAAAAACCTTATTTACTATACTTTTTGTGTACCCCCAATCTCAATGATCTGTATCCGCCTATGATTTTTGAAAATGCATATTTTTAGGATCCATGTGAATTCCTGGTTCATTCTCTATCGATCGGCAAAAGTTGCGTTAAGATTGGTTCAGAAACCTGGCCGTGATAAAGTCTAAAATGTATCTGCAATTTGCCCGTTTTTACCCCCCTCTACCCCCCTATTGACATTTTTAATTTTTATTTTTTTAGAAATGTAGATCACGTTGAGCGAATTCGAATGCCGTTTGAATTTTGAAAATCGGCCCGTTAGATCTCGAGATATCAGGGGGGTCGTAAACAGCCCCCCCCCCCTGCCACTAATAGGGGTAGCCAGGAGCCTGCCACTAATAGGGTTAAACGGTGCTCAAGATCCACTGTGCGAGTTTGTTTCAGTAATCAGAAATAGGCCTATACCGTATCCGTGGTGACATTTCCCTTTCCTGAACTATAAACGCTTTTTATTGGCTCATTATCACGGTCTTCCTTTCCCTCGTCATCTGTCACAACCCTCGTCTCCCAGCGCGCGCGATTTGACTTGTTTATCATAAATCGTTTTTGGTCGTTTATAACGCACGGTCAGTGTCACCTCGCTGTGCTTTTTGCTGCCCTTTT